AATCAATTGCCTAATGCATTTACTGATACAAAGAAAGTAATAAAATCACATATACCAGCTGCAAATATTCCAGCACTAATTGTTGTCCCTGAGGGACCTACTGTCAGTAGTGTAGCAAATGCGTTTAAAACATGCCTGAAGCATGGCAGACCAGTCAGCGCAAAAGATATTGTTCCTCGTAAGAGGAAATCACAAAGAAAAGCTAGCACTCTTGAAGAGGCCACAAAAGGAGCAACAAATATTATTGATCAATCTAAGATTATAGCCTTTGATAAGGCAGAGGCTCTTGATGAGGCCCAGGTACCTAAAAATGATGAAATAATAAATATTGATGATGCAAAGGCAACAGATGATGATGGTCCTTGATGAAGCACATGCCTTTGATAAGGCAAAGGTACCTGAAAATGATGAGATCTCACTAAATTATGAAACGGGATGGAATAGAAATGAAATTGTTGTCGACAACATATTCCCATATGTCGTTACTCTTGATATTGATAATGAGGATTCAGAACCTCAAAACATCAAAGAATGTCGACGAAGAAATGATTAGCCAAAATGGAAAGAAGCGGTACAAGCAGAGCTAAATTCATTAGCTAAACGTGAAGTATTTGGACCTGTAGTTCAAGCACCTGAGGGTGTTAATCCTATTGGGTACAAATGGGTATTTATACGAAAGCGTAATGAGAAAAATGAAATTGTGAGATACAAAGCTCGACTAATAGCTCAAGGTTTCTCACAGAGACCTAGTATTGATTATGAGGAAATATACTCCCTTGTGATTGATGCACCCACATTTAGATTCATAATACATTTGGCAGTCACTGAAAGATTGCATATGCATCTAATGAATGTGGTTACAACATATTTATATGGATCACTAGATAGTGATATTTATATAAAAATTCCAGAAGGATTTAAAATGCCTAAAACAAAACCACGTAATATGTACTCGATAAAATTACAACGATCCTTATATAGATTGAAGCAATCTGGACGAATGTGGTACAATCGCCTCAGCGATTACTTAATCAAAGAAGGGTATGTGAACAATCATATTTGTCCATGCATTTTTATTAACAAATCAGAATTTGGTTTTGTTATTGTTGCAGTATATGTTGATGATCTGAATCTTGTGGGAACATTGGACGGTATTGAAAAAACGGCCACTTATTTAAAGAAAGAATTCAAAATGAAAGATCTCGGAAAGACAAAATTCTGCCTTGGGCTGCAGGTTGAACATTTTTCAAGCGGTATTCTCATCCATCAATCAATATATATAGAAAAGATTCTGAAACGTTTTCATATGGATAAAGCCCATCCATTGAGCTCTCCAATGGTTGTCCGATCACTTGACATCAAGAAAAATCATTTTCGTTCTCGAGAGGATGATGAAGAACTCCTTAGTCCTGAAGTGCCCTATCTTAGTGCGATTGGTGCTCTTTCGTATCTTGCAAATTAGACAAGACCTGACATAATTTTTCCAGTCAATTTATTAACAAGGTACGGTTTTGTACCAACTCGCAGACATTGGAATGGAATCAAACATATATTTCGATATCTTCATGGCACAACTGATATGGGATTGTTTTATTTAAAAGCACCAAATTCTCAATTAATTGGATATGCAGATGCCGGCTATCTCTCTGACCCACATAAAGCTTATTCACAAATAGGATATGTATTTACCTATGGCAGCACTGCTATATCATGGCGATATATGAAACAGAAAATGATTGCAACTTCTTCAAATCATTCTGAGATACTCGCAATTCATGAGCCAAGTAGGAAATACATTAGGTTGAGGTCAATAATTCAACATATTTGAATAACATGTGGTCTCTCATCAATAAAAGATAACCCAAAAGTATTATATGCGGCATGCATTGCACAGATGAAAGAAGGGTATATTAAAAGTGACAGGACCAAGCACATCTCACCAAAATTCTTTTATGCACATGAACACCAGAAAAAAGGGTGATATTAATATTTAGAATATACGTTCATGTGAAAATCTAGTAAATCTATTCACTAAAACACTTCCAACTACAATAATTAATAAGCTGGTGCATAACATTGGAATGCGTCAACTAAATGATCTTCAGGGTTGAACTAATGAGGGTGAGCAATTAATCGAAGAGGTATTGGCAAACTGTACTCTTTTTCCTTCGTCTAGGTTTTATCCCATTGGGTTTTCCTAGCAATGTTTTAATGAGGCAGTTTTTAATCTATGCAATACCATTTTCAGATACATAAGAATACTGTACTCTTTTTCCTTCACTAGGATTTTGTCCCACTGGGTTTTCCTTAGCAATGTTTTAACGAGGAATATTCTTAGAGTAGTATTGTGGACTCCAAGGAGTAGTGTTATATATATATATAATTGTGTGGGTTCCCCAAATGGTTTAAGTCATCAATGAGATCACATATTGCGTGAAGAACAAGACCATATTTGTGGCGTACAAGGGAAGACTACCTTTGTAACTTACAAGGGAAGCTAGATTCTAAGCCTATAAAAGGCAATATGGATGTACTGCTTTGATACGCTAGAATGAAAAGTTACTTTCATTTTTCTCTATTTTCATTCCCTCTCTTTCTCTCTAAAAGCTATTCTCATTTAATATTACTCTACACACACACACACAAACACATATTTATTACACCTACTATTTTATTTATTTCGATATATGTACTTATGAAATTACACAACCGCCCCCCACTAAAATTACTAAAAAATTACACTATCGCCCCCTCTCACACAATTTCCTGGCTCCGTCCCTATGTAATAAGAAGGGCACCCCTTTTCCAAACTCGTCCCACACCAAGAAAATATTTTTTTCAAACCCGATTGCCTGCATCTGAGTCAAGACGTCCCAATATACATATATTTTAAGAAAAACAATTCAAACTTATATTTTATAATTTTTTTAGTAGTATAATCAAATATTTAATAATGATAATAACAAAAAGTTGTTAAAATCTAAAATCATTCTAAGAAATAAAGAAAAATAAAAATTATAGCTAATAAATGAATATTTAATTATTAATCGGGAGGAATTTGCGAGTTTTAAACTGTCTTCCCAAACCCGCCCCTAACCCGATTATGATGATTCCAAACCCGTCCCATTAGAGGCGGGGCGGGTTACCTACAACAGAAGAGTAGAAATTAAGATTATACAAAACGAACTCAATTGTGTATTTAAAGTTCTTGTAACATTGACGAGGATATGTTGGCTCTAGAAAACCTAAAGGAAGTTCAGCACACATAATTGTTAAAGGCTCACAGCGTACTAAAGCGCTAAGGCCTCTCGGAGCCTAAGGCGCACGCCAGACTGAAGTGAAGCACAAGTTGAGAAAAAAATAATTAAAAAAAAAAAAACATTTTAATAGTTAACATAACAAGCATTTTAATAGTTAACATAACATGCATTTTCATTTTTCATAGTTAAAAAAAAAGAAAAAAAAGAAGAAGAGAGAAGTGAGAATAGGAGGAGGAAAAAGACAGAAGAAGAAGAGATGGAGAAAGAGAAGTGAAAAGATGCAGCAGTAGCGGTCTAGAAGAACAAAGAAAAAAATTGATAGGGTCCACCACTTAACATATGCAGAAGCAGAGAAAATAAGAAGCAGCGTGTTTGTGTTTACTCTTCTGTCCATATAACTTATAATAAGTGGTAGGATCCACCACTTAAAATATGCCGCAGAGAAAAATAAAGAAGCAGCAGCATTGAAAAAACAAAAAAAACAAAAAGAAGAAGCAGCAGAGCCCTATTTTTTTATTTGCTTTACCTTGTTGGTTTTATATAATTTATAATAAGTGGTATGCTTCACCACTTAACATATACGTACCAATTATACGAAAAGTTAAACCAACATAACTCTTTAAATAACATAAAAACAAAGTACTTCAAAGAGGCATGCCCCACATGCGCCTTGGGCCTATCGCCTTCAGCAAAGGAGGCGCGGCTATGCAAAGGGGCTCGCCTGGGTTCATGTAAGGCGCCAAAGCTGCGCTTTGATGCGCCCGGCGCCCGGAACGCGGTTTGTCTGCTACTTTCTTTGATATGCTACTAGTTACATGCTATATGCTATGATTTTGGCTTCAATGTTGTCTGTCATTTACTTGGATATATACCAAACTCATGATTCTTTTTAATTCTACTTCAACTAGTCCAGAATATTAGTTGCATGCATCTGGAAGCAAAATCAGAAGGAATGAGATATTCACATTACACGATATCGTATCAAAATAATTCTACAGTGTGACTGCATTTGACGAACAATTGTCATTTCATTTTCTACAAAAAAAAAAAAAAAAAAAAAAAAAAGGAAGCATAGAATATGCAACAGCATAAAGCAGAGTCCAAGTATCATCGCCCAATTGAAAAAAACACTGTCAATCAACTGTAATAATGAAGCAAATAGTTCTTATGCTGGAACAATTAGTAGCAGATAGTTCCATGACCTACAACCAGGAGTATTTCATTCAATGGAAGTAGGAAGAAACGAAACTGAAAACTAAACCGAAATTTTTAGTCCCATAGTTAGCAATAATGATGCCGTGTCAACATGGAAATTTTAGAACAAATTTGATCAACAGGAATTTGTCACATTAACTGATTTAAAGCATCAACTATCATCAAAACAATATGGTACATGGCAGACTGCAAAAGAACCTGAATTTGCCACATTATTATCGGCACAAGATTCCTCCAAATGGCGAAACCATTAATCCATCATATCAAGTTGATATTTTCTCAGCAGAGACGAGAGGATGAAATCAAAACAATCCTCTAAATAATCAGAGGGTAAACTGAAAAATTATGAAGAATGCAAACAGATACTAATACGTCTTGGATCGAATACAATCCCTGCAAGCATCAAATATCAATCGTACCAGGCTTCGGAAATCCTACATTATTGATCCAACAAAAAAAGAGTACCACTTTCTCAAAGTCTTACAGGCGAAGGACATTGTATTTGTCAATCATAATCGCAGCAGTGCCACCAGTAGTTGGCCTAAAAGGAGAAACAAAACCTCGTTATTTCAAGGTAAAGAAGTATACTAAACTGTTGAGAACTAGCTGAAAACAAGAACCTCCATATATGTAGTTTAAAATTAGATAATAAGGACATATAAGTATTATATAAATTTGCACAGCGAAAATCATAACTTAAACAGAATAAACTTACAACCCAACAAAAACTTTGAAAGCATCATAGATACCCCACTGCACTCCAGTAAGGGTTCCGATCATGACAATACGAAGAGGAAGGCCACAGGTAAACAAACCCCACAAGCTTAGCTTCTCTACAGCCTGTAACATGCACATATAAATAAGTATAACATACACAGTGACTCTAAAGAAAGAAAATAGAAGGGCATTAGCATTACTCAGTGGCCTAGTTAGTAGAGAGCCCAGCTCTCCAAGCGGGTGTGCCCGTGTTCGAATCCCTCCTCACCCTAGTTTGCCAGGATAATATATATATATATAGAAATTACATATTATGTGCATCTTTAACTCACATCCAGATTATCAGCAAGATGTGATACGATCGCACAGAATACGCCAGCCACATATCCACCAGCAAAGCTCACCCCAAGCTGCAAGCTTTTGCTGCACTGGTCTTTTGGAGTTGGGATAGCATACTTGTAGGGCATCTCCACAATGGTCTCAAAAGATGCAAACTTCATCATTCAAATATCCATTTTTTTAATCATCAGAGGGCCTCCTAAGAAGGGATTATCAGGTGTAATTCTTCTAATGAAAAAACCAGTGACATAAAAGTAGATACAAGGCAAAGAAACCACAACTCCAGCCACTCAAAATACTTACTATAGTTATGTCTCATGCGCACCAAATTTTAGACAGACAATAATGTACCAATTGATTATTAAATACTAGATGATATTAAATCACATCAACTAGCTACTTAAATAGACCTCACTCCTTCAAATGCCAATCTCTAACAATGTAAAAGGCCTAAGGGCCATGCGAAGACTACACATGAAGCAACCACAACACATTCGTCAACTGAATCTCAGCAACAGTTGGAGTATCGACCCAATGGGCACTGCAGGGGGTATTGGTCTTTTTTGGCAGGAAGATGGCGTATTCCGTATAATTGATCAATGTGACTTCCAGGTTACACTTGAATTTTGTTCAATCCAAAAAAGGTAATTGGGTTCTCATTATCATTTATGCAAGCACTGATGACTGTATTAGGGTAGCCCAACGGGATTATCTACAACAGAGAGCATAATTGGAATCATTGATGGCCCATTATAGGTGACTTTAATGATTTATTAATGCCAACCGAGAAGAAAGAAAGAGAGAGAGGGGAGAGGAGGTTTGGATACCAGAGGAAAATCCCTGCTAATATATCCAGGAACGATTGGATAGAGCATTGGCTAGTGGAGAATGGCAGCATATTTTCCGGGTGGAGTTACCCATCTTACTGTTCTAGGTTCTGATCATTGCGCTCTTCTATTGAATTTATATCCTAATTTCAGCAAGAAACATCGTCAATTCTATTTTGATGCTCGTTGGGTTTTGGACGAGCGATGTGCGGATATTATCCGTACTGCCCGGCAAGGTGCTATTCAGGGGGTCTCAGATGTTCAAATGGTCTGAAAAAATTAAAGCCTGCAAATTAGCTTTATTGCACTGGGCACTCTCTCGGTCTTGTAATTCACGAAGAAATATTTAGGTCTCTGAGGCTTGTCTTAAGCAGCTCAAGGAAGACTCTCAGAACTACAACCACTAACAACTTTCTCCAAACAGAAAAGCACCACCAGAATTATTGACGCGACGAGGAAATTTATTGGGGCCAGAAATCTCAGATCCAATGGATGAAATTTGGTGATCGAAACTCAAAGTTTTTTCATCCTCCTACAATCTGCCGAAGGAGGAGAAACAACATTTCTGGAATTGAAGATCTCAGTGGGCAATGGCACGAGGATGAATCTAAAATTCAGGCTATTTTTCAAACCCAATCTCGTAGCAACATTGCTTCTTTTATTCAGCATGTTCTAGTGAAGGTACAAGTATATGTATCTTACTACCGGGCAACCATGTATGGGCTGGGTGATCAAAACTCTGCCAAATTGGTTGGGTTGAATTTGGCCCATCTACCAAAATAAAATTACCATCATCAAGAAGAATTGCAACTGAAGAAATTGAAATGCTAGAGCTTATGTTTGTGGACCAAGTTTGGGACTCATTGACAAGCACTAAGTTACCATCTAAAATTTTCAGTTCTGATGAGTATATATGTTAGAGACACCTCTCTCTGTCATTTGGGAGAGAGAAAAAAGAAAAAGACATTTCATGTCCAGTTGCAAAAAATTATATACACGGCTGCCCATCCATCTTTCTCGGTCAGTAATCTCTCTACTTTACCACCAAGGCCAGTAGCCTAGTTGTATCCCCTACCTCCCGAAGTGGAAAGTCAGGGTCCAAGTTCTCATAAGGGCACAAGAGTGTGAGTTTCTTGCCAAGATAAAATAAATAAATAAAAAATCTATCTACTTCCTTTTGCAATTAATACTTCCTCTTAAGCCATTCCCAACATTGAACTACCCTATATATAATACCAAATAAATTAAAAGGAGAAGGATGTACAAGCAATTGCAGAAGGATGGACAAGAAAAATCATATAACATATAATTATAGAATAAAAGGATTACTGAAGCTGCTCCAGCAGGAAGTCCGGTTCCAAGGTACTTGGTACGCTTTCTCGCTGCTTTTTTCTCCTTGGTCTCCATGAACTCCCAAGGACTTCCTATAAGAAGTGGATAGCAAGGATCAAAAGCAATCTTCTCAAGCAAGACAACACTCTTTATTAGATACATTGCAAGCTTAACATTAATGGGAAGCCCAACAAACCCAATGTATTCCACCACCTTAAGGTTCTGATGGGGCCAAGATGTAACCCTTAGCTGTTTTCTTCTCAGATTGGACTTGGACCATTGCAGCTGTAACAAGGAGGAATGGAGTCATACGGTGCTTTATACATTTAAGTAGACCATTAGCATACAAAACCAAAATACCAAGCATCAAATCATAATTGCTCAGGGCAAGTTAGAATCATGACACAGCTAGATTCAATAGAATAGCCAAAACGAAATGTTCCACATGATCCATGGAGATTGAATGCCATGTTGTTATCATATGACTCAGCAAGATAAAAAATAAAAAAAGAAATTCTTTTATGGCACTAGTCATTCTGCTTATTGTGCACGCATAAATATTATTCTGCTTTAGACATAAGATTGAGTGGACATGCAATTTAGAAGACCTTTAATTGATCCACAGAAAAAATACTCAAGCATTTAAGAAATAAAATCAAGACAAGTTAAATGCTTAGGAATGACAAAAGATGGATTAACTTTCAGTAGTAACACGCCAGAGTGCCCACAATTAATAACTAAATATCCTGAAAGATAAATTAAACGTCTGCTACTGTAGGGTACTCTCGGGAAGTAGAACAAAGGGAATGATTCCTATTGTGTTTTTTGAATGGCATTCTTCAGCATTTTTCATCTTCTAATTATGTGGTAAATTTTTACCGGGGTTTCTTAGTTTGTTTTAGTCTTTAATTGCCCGCAACTTTTAATTTATTGAATAACCTCTGTTCCTCCTCCCCACTGCAATATCAATTTCTCCTTCTTCACAACATTGTTCCCTTACCAATAGAATTATAAGGAAAGAGAAAAGATATCAAAGTTACCTTGTAATGGACAGCAGACCGTGACACCTTTCTAAGAGTTGAACTAATAGATTGGTGGGTCCATTCTAAGCATGTATACTTGGGCCTAAATAATATGGAATCAGTCATATCCTTGATCATTGATCTAAATGGATGTTTTTGCCTTTACACCAAAACAACTCAGAGACAACATGAAAAAGCAAAAATGGACTATAACGCTGAGCATCACTCAGCAATCTGATTAAAGTAACCATTTTCGAATTAAACTTATAATGAGAGCAAAGAATCCTCGATACTAGCATGGTTGGAAGAGAGAAAGGGGAAAGAAAAAAGAAACACTGCATTAGAGATGAATTCACACTGTTCTGAAGAGCAATAATGACTAAATCTAACAGAATAAGGCAACAGTCCAAGAGTTCCTATTCTGGGAGGAGTCGTGAGCAATTAATTAGTAATTTAGTATCAATTGCAAAGATACTTGAAAAAATCACAAGAATAAAGCAATCTAAGAAGACGTAAGATAGTAAACGGCCATGTTAAAGTCTCAGGCAATAAATATTAAATCAACATGGGAACAACAAAATGATATATATTCATTTACAAAATCAAGCAGGAGAATAGATCAAGCTAAACAGTATAAGATCATTTTTCCTATTACTGATAATATTGTAATTTGTAATAGCCATAAAGAAGGAAGTAATTGCTCGGGAAAATTGAAAGCTTTTAAGCCGAAGTCCAAATGAATCAAAATTTCCATTTGGAAATTCAATTACGAAAGCAATAAACGTGACAGTTTAGAAATGCAGGTTGTAAAGTAAGAAGTATTACCTCCAACACAAATTTATACAAGAAAGTACATGCCTCAGGGGAGCAAAAACAATAATGTCTTCATCATCACTTGCACCAATTCCCAACTCCAGTTACTTGAGCTTATTAAATATAGGAAATTTAGCAAACCCAATACTATTCTGAATAAACCAAAGAAAAAGTAAAAAATCAGCACAGATTGAATAAAATAAAATTAAAGGGGGAGGAGATAAAATGAATTAGTTCCACTTAATAACCTCAATGGAGGTCCTGTGCAATATAAGGCTCTCTAGCTCAGAAAGATTACTTAAAATCCCCAAAAAAGTTAAAATTAGAGATTTGCAAAACTAACCCTCGATATACAGTGCAACAAGCTTCTGTATGTTCTTAAATGGCAGGTTTATTTTTGGTCCGAATTACTTAAGTGACAGAGATTCATTGCAGAAATCTCAATATTTTCAACATTGAAGCAGTTAGTTATCTCCAAGTGCTTCAATTTGAGTGATACATCAGGAACTTTCAGATTTACGAGTCAGTGTCTTGCACAGACAATTGTTCCAAAAATGGACAGCTAGTTAAGAACTACTCGAGAACTTGTCCAGTTAAATTCACATGTGCCATCAGAAGATTATATTAATTATTAATCTCTTTTCATATAGTATTCCCCATAACCCAAGCCAAGACCATAGCAAAGAAAATGACAGACAACATTGAAGCCAAAATCATAGTAGCATGTAACTAGTAGCGTATCAAAGAAAGTGGCAGACAAACCATTGAACTAAAATATATACCAAACTCATGATTATTTTTAATTCTACTTCAACTAGTCCAGAATATTAGTTGCATGCATCTGGAAGCAAAAAACAAAAGGAATGAGAGATTCGCATTACACGATATTGTTTCAAAATATTTCTATAGTGTGAGACTGCATTTGAAGAACAATTGTCATTTCGTTTTCTACGAAAAAAAAAAAAAAAACATATTATATGCAACAGCATAAAGCAGAGTTCAAGTATCATCGCCCAATCGAAAAAATCACTGTTAATCAGCTGTAATAATGAAGCAAATAGCTCTTATGCTGGAACGATTAGTGGCAGATTGTTCCATGGTCTACAACCAGGAGTATTTCATTCAATGGAAGAAATGAAAGTGATAACTAAACCGAAATTTTTAGTCCCATAGTTAGCAATAATGATGCCATGTCAACATGGAAATTTTAGAATAAATTTGATCAATAGGAATTGTCACATTAACTGATTTAAAGCATCAACTATCATCAAAACAATATGGTACATGGCAGACTACAAAAGAACCTGAATTTGCCACATTATTATCGGCACAAGATTCCTCCAAATGACAAAACCATTAATCCATCATATCAAGTTGCTATTTTCTCGGCAGAGACAAGAGGATGAAATCAAAACAATCCTCTAAAGAATCAGAGGGTAAACTGCAAAATTATGAAGAATGCAAACAGATACTAATACGTCTTGGATCGAATACAATCCCTGCAAGCATCAAATATCAATCGTACCAGGCATCGGAAATCGTACATTATTGATCCAACAAAAAAAGAGTACCACTTTCTCAAAGTCTTACAGGCGAAGAGCATTGTATTTGTCAATCATAATCGCAGCAGTTCACACCTTCGCAGGTGCAGTGCCACCAGTAGTTGGCCTAAAAGGAGAAACAAAACCTCGTTATTTCAAGGTAAAGAAGTATACTACACTGTTGAGAACTAGCTGAAAACAAGAACGTCCATATATGTAGGTTAAAATTCGATAACAAGGACATATAAGTATAATAAAAATTTGCACAGGGAAAATCATAACTAATACAGAATAAACTTACAGCCCAACATCAACTTTGAAAGCATCATAGATGCCCCACTGGGCTCCAGTAAGGGTTCTGATCATGACTATATGAAGAGGAAGGCCACGGGTAAAAAAACCCTATTGGCAGCTCTTAAAACTGCCAATAGGTGTCTCCTCGCTATCAAAAGATCTCCTATTCAGTTGCTTCTACAAACACCACTAAATGCACAAGGGTGCCACCCTCCAAAAGTCACATGTTAGGGAACCCACTGTACAACCTCTATCATGCCTCTAGAGTACTGAGGCATAAACAACAGAACCCCAAAAGCATACCCCAATTATCCCGGGCCACTGGACAATGCAGCAAGAGGTGATCTACTGAATCTTCATCACTTTTGCAGATACAGCACCGGTTAACAATAATTTGTCTCCTCCTCCTCAAGTTGACCGGCATTGGAATCCTCCCAATGACAGCTGTCCAAACAAAAAAGGCCACAGAGAAGGAGGGCCGCGGGGCGGGGCGGGGCGGGGCGGGGCGGGGCCGGGGGGGGGGGGGGTTGTGGGGGGGCTTAGTGCGCCAAACAGCCTTCCACAGGAAAGCAGGCCCCACAGCATTGGGCTAGAACAATCTGCTTTAATCACAGGTAGATTAATTCAAGATAATTTGATTCTTGCCCAAAAGTTAATCATAGGTTTTAACTGGAGGAACACTAACCCTTCAATTGCCCTAAAAATAGATTACCACAAAGCTTATGACAGTGTTTTGTGGAAATTTCTTTCTACTCTGCTGCAGTCTCTTCAAATTGGAGATGGATGGATCAAATGGATAGAAGAATGTAATTCTTCAGTTAAATTTTCTGTTATGGTGAATGGGGTCCAATGTGACTTTTATAGTTCTGAAAATGGGCTGAGGCAGGGATGCCCCTTGTCAATTCTTCTCTTTGCTTTGGTGATGGAGTATTTCTCTAATCTGATGGAGAAAGTTACTTCAAGTGGTCAAATTAAGTTTTGCAGCACTGCTAACAAGTTAAATTTAAATGTCTTACATCTTATGTTTGCAGATGATTTGTTCTTGATACAATGGTATCCAATGCTGATTTGAGGACTACTAGAGCCATTTCTCAGGTGTTAACTGAGTTTCAGAGGGTTTCTGGGCTGAAAGCAAATCAGGAGAAGAGTTTAGTGAGTTTTTTTTTTTTCAATATCTGTCAGAAGATGTAGAAGAATTATGCGTAGTTTATCCTTTAGAAGGGGGTCATTTCCCATCACTTATCTTGGCTTGGCTTTGAAGGATAGAGGTTTAACCAAGGCTGCTTGTAGTTCTCTCCTTGACAAGATTACTACCAGAATAAATCACTCGAGTAAATATCAATTGTCTCAAGCTGGCAGAGCGGAGATGGTGAGATCTACTATCTATGCTACCATTCATTGTGGACAACAGTATTTGACATTCCTGCTGCTGTGAGAATTCAGATTGAAACGAACTAAAAGAATTTTATTTTGGGCCATAGTGAGAGTGAAAAGAAAATGCATTACATGAACTGGTAGAGTTACCTCTCCCTGAGTTCTCTGCTATATATGAAGTATTTTGAGATATTGTCCACAGAAAAAGATAAGATATGGGTCAAGTGCTAAGAAGCATGGGACACGGACATGATATGATACGGATACCCCAACACATCAAATTCTAAAAAAGTAGGACACGGCTAAGATAAATAAAAAAATCTATTTAAATATCTATTGAGTAAGAAAATTATAGAGGTTTAACTAATTGATAATTTCTATACTAAAGTTACACAAGTTAGAAAATGATGCTATTCAAACATCAAAGAGAACATATAATATTATATACGATATTAGTCTCCTATATTGTCATCAGAGTGTTGTTTCCAGCACTATCTTGTTTGTTTATATAAGACGAAGAGTGTAGGATGTGTTGGTCGAGTGTCCGGTATGTGTTGACCAAGTAACCAAGATGTGTTAGCCAAGTGTCCGAAATAATAAAAATTACTTTTTAAATTATGGACACTGCCATGAAATGTCGGACAAAATGTCCAAAAGTGTCCATTAAGTGTCAGTGTCCGACGCGGACACGACACCTTCTAGAAGTGTCCGTGCTTCTTAGTTCAAGTGGTTTGAGATGAAATATTTTTCAAAGGTCAATATTTGGAGATGTGCTATCCACTTCAACGCTTCTACTATTTGGAAACATATAGCAGACACAAGATCTTTTATGCAGCAGCATATGGTGTCTGAGGTTGGAGAGGGTAGTAATTTTCTTTTACTCCATGATCGTTGGTGTAGTGGAAAATCTTTGTTTCAGAGATAGGGAGCCAGAATTGTTAGGGATACGGGTCTTGCAAATAATGCCAAGGTGCATCAGATTCTGTATAACATGAATTGGCAAGCTTAGTTTTGTCCTAATTATGCTAAGCAAGCCATTTCTGATGTCAGGGTGGGATATGATGCTGATAGAATGATACGGAAACATGGTACTTCTGTTTTAAATCAGTTTGGAATCTGTGCAGAGAAAGGAAAGAGGAGAAATTTTGGTATAGATAAGTTTGGAATTCAGGGATCCCCAGGTGTTCTTTTACTGCTACTCTTCCTATGCATCTGTTGTTGCCTACATTCGCTATATTACAGAATAGAGGCCTGACTCTAACTGCGATATGCCACAATTGACATTCTTACACAGATCAGAATCATCATATCAAACACTTGTTTACTTCATGTAGCTTTGCCTCTCAGATTTAGGACTGGTTTGAGTCTTCTATTCATTGGTCTAAACCTGTGCACAACTCTCTCTTGATCAGTTGGCCAGGTGGTTCATTAGTCTTTGTTGGAATAATTTATTGAGAGCAAATTTTATTATCAGATATTCTCCACCATTATAGGGGGCATTTCAATAAGAAAGGAATGCTCGAGTTCACTCTGATGTGAAGAAATCTGCTGCTCAGTTAGCCAGAGAGATCTTTTGCAAAGTTATGGATTGTGCCTCTTTCAGTTCATGATGTGCCCACACTGTGCTTCTGATTATTTTTCTGTTTTATTCTACTGCTTTTTATGTTCTTAGTTATTGGAAATGGATGTATTCCATTGTTCATTATTTGTATATGAGAGGGAATGCCCTCTCTATTAAGCCTTGTGCTCATTGCATATCTTTGGCATTATAAAACAACCATTCATGAAAAAAAGGGATAAAGGAAAGAATGATGACATGAATATTCTAAATTGTGTCGCCATCGTTTAAGTGTGGAAAGTTAAGCATTGTAATCCTCCCTATAATAAATGATAGTGTGAAAAATCATTTTTTGTACCAATAAGAATGTGTATGACATTTAATCATACTCAATTTTCATATACAAAATTGACCCTATGCGCAACTAATTCAACAAAAAAATAATAATAATAATAAACATTTCATGTGTAGTCAGCCAAAAATCATATACACAGCTGCCCATCCATCTTTTGTGGTAGGTAATTTCTCTCTACTTCACCACCAAGGGCAGTAGCCTAGTTGTATTTCCAAACTCCCAAAGTGGAAAGTCAGGGTTCAAGTTCTCTCTACTTCCTTTTGCAAAAGAGTGTGAGTTTCTTGCCAAGGTTAAAAAAAAAAAAAATCCTTTTGCAATTAATACTTCCTCTTAAGCCTTTTCCCAACATTGAACTATCCAATATATAATACCAACTATTCAGGAAAAAAATATAGATAGTACCAAATTATTTATAGGAAAAGGATGTACAATCAATAGCATATAACATATAATCAAAGAAGTAGATGATTACTAAAGCTGCTCCAGCAGGATGTTTGGTTCCAAGGTACTTGGCACGCTTTCTCGCTGTTTTTTTTTCTCCTTCGTCTCCATGAACTCCCGTGGACTTCCTATAAGAAGTGCATTGTGAGGATCAAAAGTAATCTTCTCAAGCATTACAGCACTCCGAATTAAATATTTGCAAGCTCAACATCAATTGTATGCCCAACAAACATCAATTGCATTATTTAGCACTTCACATCATCCAATCATGGGGTCAATTTTCTAACTGGGGGCTTCTTAGTTTGTTTTAGTCTTTAATTGCCTGTGGCTTTTAATTTATTGAACAATCTCTGTTACTTCTCCCTACTGCAATCTCAATTTCTCCTTTTTCACGAAGTTGTTCTCTTACCAATAGAATTATAAGGAAAAAAAAAGATACTAAAGTTGCCTTCTAATGGACAGCATACCTTGACACATTTATAAGAGTTGATGAACTAATAGATTGATGGGTTCATTCTAAGCATGTTTGTTTAGGCCTAAATAACATGGAATCAGTCACATTCTTGATCATTCATCTAAATGGATGTTTTTGCCTTTAAACCAAAACCACTCAGACACAACACAAAAGGCAAAAAGGGACTATAGCACTGAGCAATCACTCAACAATCTGATTAAAGTAACCATATTTGAATTAAACTTACAACGACAGCAAAGAATCCTCAATACTAGCATGGTTGAAAAAGTTTAAGGAAAAAAGTAGGGGGAAAAAAAAAAAAAAAATGTGTTAGAGATGAATTCACACTATTCTGAAGATCAATAAGACTATATCTAACACAATAAGGTAATAGACTCCAAGAGTTCCTACTTTGGGATGAGTTGTTGAGCAATTAATTAGTATCAATTGCAGGTACTTGAACAATCACAAGAATAAAGCAATCTATCATGTGTAAATATCAATCGACCATGTAAAACTCTTAGGCAGTAAATATTAAATCAACATGGGGATAACAGAAGGATATACTTGAACAATTGGGAGAGTAGAGCAAACTAAATACTGTAAGAGCATTTTTCATATAAGTCTTAATAGGTAATATTGTAATTTGTAATAGCCATAAAGAAGCAATTCATTGGGAAAATTATGCTTTTAAGCTGAAGTCCAAATGAATCAAAATTTCCATTTGAAAATTCAATTACGAAAGCAATATATTTTTTTGATAAGTAATAAAAAATTAAAAAGCGTTAAAAAGGGGAACGCGTCCCCAGAACAATAATCGGGGACTAAGGCCCCAAAGAATCCAGAAAAGAAATTAAAGCATCAGAAGAAGAGCAAGAACTCCTTGTCACATAACTAAAGAGAGAGCGAATAATGATAAGTTTTAGTGTCGCTGTAGACGACTCTTTCCATTCAAACATTCTACTATTTCTCTCCTTCCAGATGCTCCACCATACACAATGTGGGACATTTCTCCAAAAATCGCGCACACCTCTGCTCACGCGATATCCTCTCCAGGCATAAATCAAATCCTTAGTAGAACGTGGCATTACCCAACACATGCCAAATAATCCAAGAATAAGACTCCAACAATCGTACGCCACAGGACAATGCATAAGAAGATGATTAACAGATTCCCTATCTTGCTTACAAAGGCAACACCAATTAACAATACAATTTCCCCTCTTCCTCAAATTATCAATCGTCAGAATCTGACCCCAAACAGCTGTCCACACAAAGAATGCCACCCTAGTAGGTGCCGAAGAGTGCCATATAGTTTTCCACGGGAAGACAAAGCTAACAAAATTAGACAGGCATAAGAACAAAGATCTTACTTCAAAACGACCATGAGAAGAGGGAATCCATATCAAATTGTCATGCCCCCTACCAATTTCTTCCTGCCGATACAATTGGTCCAGAAAAGCAATATATAAACCTCATAGTTTAGAAATGCAGGTTGCAAAGTAAGACTTATTACCTGCAACACAAATTGATAATACAAGACAGGATATCCCTTTATCAGGGAAGTAAAAACAATAAGGCTTTCATCATCACTTGCACTAATTCTCAACTCTAGTTGCTTGAGCTATTAAATACAAGAAATTTAGCAAACCAAATAGTACTATGAATAAACCAAAGAAAAATTAAATCAGCACAGATTGATAATTATGTTAAGAAATAATAAAATGAAAATTAAGGGAGGAGATAAAATGAATTAGTGGAACTTTCTAACCTTGATGGAGGTCATGTCCAACGTAAGGCTTACTAGCTAAGAAAGATAGCTTGAAATCCCCAAAAAGTTATAAATTAGAAAATTGCAATACTCATCCTAATATACATTTCAACAAGCCCCTGGATGTTCTTAAATGGCAGGCTTATTTTGGTACGAAGAACTTAAATGACATGAGATTCACTGCAAAAATCTCAATACTTTCCACATAAAAGCAGCGAGGTGTCTCCAAGCCCTTCAATTTGAGTGATATAGATTGGGAACTATCACATTTACAAGACAATCAGATTTTTGCGCAAACAATTGTTCCAAAAATGGACAGTTAGTTAAGAAGTACTCGAGAACTTGTCAAATTACATTCACGTGAGCTAGTAGGAGATGGTTGGGGAGTTCCAGCTAGTAAACCCAAGAGACAATGAATGCAGGTGATTTGTAATATGACCCAGGAAAATTTTAACTGTTAGCCAAGATATGATAGCCTAGAATCATGAGATGTGACTTACCATATTAGCCGAGACATGATAGCCTAGTGTTACGGGGTTGGGACCTTGACAAGCCCCCTGACAGCCATAGGATGCTGTCAGCGTGCACTGGGGGTGCCTAGTGGCATTTTCGTAAATATGGCAAAAAAGTGAAGCTTGGAGTTTTGGCTCGGGATCTTTATGGGTGGTACCTTGAGTCCATAGAAGATGGTTGGCACAGACGGTACTCGATTTGGATGTCGTGCACTTTGAGACATTTATATGTGGGTGCAGATTAGTGGGCTTAGCACGGGCTAAGTTCACAAAGTTGGCTCAGATGTTGCTTAAAGCATGGACCACACAAGTCATGGACGTGTGGCATAGTCAAGTCAGGGACATAGGCACAAGGCAGTGGGCGTAGGCAAGGCTCAGCGTGCAAAGTTGGCTCAGGGGACTCAGACATGGCTTATGGTTACAGAAGATGGCTAAGTGGGCTCAGTTGGTTGGGGGAAGTTACACTTCCCACTAAGTGGGCTCAGTTGGTTAGGGGGAAGTTACTAACACTTCCCACTAAGTGGGCTCAGTTGGTTGGGGGAAGTTACACTTCCCACTAAGTGGGCTCAGCTGGTTGGGGGAAGTTACTAACGCTTCCCACTCGTGTGCATATATTATGGGAAGTGGGGGTGTGCTGAGTAACTTCCCATACATGTGGCACAGATCTGAGGGGACAACACACAGGTGGTTAGGGTCGGTTTTCTTCTACTATGCTGATTTGTAGAAGGTGGCAGATAATGTGTAACTTCCTGTGGACAAGTGGCATGAGCAAAGCGTGCCAACAAGCTAATAGTTGGGATTGTCAACTACATATGTAGTGTTGGCACACTTAGTGGGTGCCAACATGACCCTAGGTGGATGGGGATGTCATCCACCATTTTAGTGGGCAGTTGTGGGCGGTTTTGAGAGTTTGCCTATATATTGCTAATGTGGGTTCTGTAAAGAGGGCAGATTGAGAGTGAGACACAGAGTTGTGTTGTGAGAGACTCTTGCATGCTTCTGCAGGTTGAGGCCTTTCCTTGTACTGTTTTGTGAATAATAGTAAAAGGTTGGAAGCCTTGTGCTTCTGTAAATTCGTGGGTGTTATTGTCTTTACATTCTTGCAACTATACTTGTGTGTAAGAGTATTTTACTTGCTGTGTGTTTTAGGCAGCAAGTGTGAGTTGGCTGAGTAAAGTTAGAAATTCAGAGAAAAGTTGTTCATATTTCTGGCTTAGTGCCATCACAAGGCACTAGATTCGTGTTCAGAATTTACCCCTGTGACACCTAGTATCATGGAATTTGACTTTATTTACGCATATATTTAGGCATAGACTCTACTGTGATTTAATTTGGTTTCCCTTTTTTGTAATATTTAACATGTGCTCTTTTAGTATATAAATACCAGAGATGTGAATGAGTGAGCATTCTCAGTCAAGCCTTTACATATTTCTCTTGTATTTCTTCTATCTTGTATTTTTTCTGTAACCCTCACTCATTAGTCATTCCTCAACTTTCTGAAAGCCCAACTCAATCCTTTTAGTTCTCTTTTCTATTGCAAAGTTAACCCAATTGTCAATATCAAATTTACAACTTTCATCAAGATCAAATTGAAATTTGAATTCATCTGTACTTCAACCATTGTACAATTTCAAGACTTGAAGTAGAATTGGAGTGGGTTGCACAAAATGGAGGCAAGTTAGTGGGATTTTATGTGGTAAAAGAATAACATATAGACTAAAAGAAAATTTCCATAGGACCATTATTACTTGTTACACCTACTATGTTTTATGGAGCGGACTATTGTCCCTAAAACAAAAAACAAGAACAACGCCTTCATGTAACGGAACTGAGAATGATAAGATGGGTGCGTGGAGTGACTAGAAGAGATAGGGTCACTAATGAAAGTGTGACAGGAAAATTAGGTGTAGCACCCATTGGTGAGAAAATTCGAGAGAGTAGACATAGATGGTTTGGACATATGACACGGCGGTTGTAATAGAAGGAAAGAGACGGAGAAGGCGGCTAAAAATTACATGGGATGAGGTTATTAAAAATGATTTTAAAAAGTTAAATATAGAAGGTGAATTAACATGTTATAGAAAAGCTTGGAGAGAGAGAATTCATGTGGCCAACCCCATTCATATGGGATTAAGGCAAGGATCATCACGATGATGATGAAATACAAAAGCTTTTCTACTTCAAGTAGCTTATCTCCCAGTATCAGTTCATTTATTATTGTGAGGCATCAAAGTCAAACCAAACTATACCTCCTTTGATGACAGACTAGTTCTGTGGGGGCTCACATCCGGGATGCTTGGAGGGCTACACCTCTTTGTATTTGGTGGTGCATTTGGCTTGAGAGGAACAGGAGATACTCTGATGGAAAGGAGTTGCCTATTTCTTGTCTTAAGTTCTCCATTGTTTCCACTCTTTTTTGTTGGGTTTCGGGTAGAGATTATAGATCCATTGAGGACGTTGTCGTTCTTTTGTTGTTCCTATGGGATGCGCTCCCCTTTTGAGCATTTTTTATACCATTCTTACTTATCAAAAAAAAACAGACAAGTTCTTGCCGCTTCTTTCATTGTCAAAAGTGAAAAGATTGAAACAAGGACTACATCAAGAAGTCCACTAATGTGATCCTCCAAACACAACCCTCCTCTATCAACCTTCTCATTATTGCAATTAAAGAAAAATAAAAAATAATAATTAAGAAAGTGAGATAACAAAAACACCAATCCCTAAAAGTATAGTCTATACTGTCTTTATTATTAATTTAGCACCGTAGTGGGATCCTAGCTTTGTCTTTAGCTTTCATGGTGCTCAGTTCTTTCACATTCTCCTTCTCCTGATGAGGCTTCCTTTCTTTGTTTAACAACCTATTTTTTATTTCCATCATCATCATACTCATTTTGGACAACATTTTAGTACACAGTGAAGGAACTATAAGACCACATATTCACGTTCACATATAGACCAGTGTACATGATGACATTTAAAATTATCAAGTTTTCTACTTTTTTGTATATTTTACTCGGAAATGATCAGAAAATTAACTTGTTTCTATAGAACATTAATCAGATAAGGAGGTATGTCCTATAATCACATGAATCAGAGAAAATTCCGCCTTGGTCTGGTAGTAATCTTATCCCACATCCTTTCTGCAAATATTCTATGGGTCATTTGCCTTGTCATTCACGGCTATCCAGAAAACTCGAGATAAACCACAATGCTACCATCCTGCAAAACAGGTTGCCTCAATAATAAGTCCTAGGTGAGAGTACCTATGTGTAAGGCCGAATTCCTTTTATGTACACAAGTATATACTCAATCATGACTACATTTGAAGCAAGTATATGACTTCAGCATGACTGCATTAACAGAAGGAAATGCAATATTTTCACATTGTGAGAAAATATAAAAGAAAATAATCATCCTTTTCTCATGGAAACATGTCTAAAAGGAAAAATTAGGATTTAGTGACCCAAAGAAAAATTAGGATTAGCAACCATAAAGTAATAAATAAACTTAAGTACTTAACCTCCCATTAGGTCACTAAGGAATATCTAAAGCTACGTTCAAAAAGTCTCTCCTTATTCCATTCTCTGGCATAACAGAACCGCTAAAAACGCAAAGAAAAAATTAGGATTTAGTTACCCCAGGAAAAATTAGGATTAGCAACCATAAAATAATAAATAAACTTAAGTACTTAACCTCCCATTAGGTTGCTAAGGAATTTCTAAAGCTACGCTCAAAAAGTCTCTACTTATTCCATTCTCTAGCATAACAGAAACGCTAAAAATGCAATAACACTTGGAAATAATGATAACTTTAACATCAGATAAGAAAACTATAGTGATTGTTCTATCAAAGTGGCTGCGAAAGTATAGATATAGCTTCATTAACTTTCTTTTAGTTATATTTTCATAAGAAAGATTCCAATGTGATCATGACCAATACAAATCATTTAACTTTCAGGTGGTCCAAGGAAAGCAATATGAGGCAGCCAAATAACCGATGAGTAGAATGATAATTTTTTTATTATATAGTTTGTCATATAAACAAATTTGCTTCCTCATACCTATAAAAACAAAGCACTAAAAAGAACTAGAGAAGAAATCCCAAGCGAAATATATGGCAGTAAATATATAAGACAAGATCTGCTTCAGTTCTTGTTGAAGGAAAACTGAGTTAACCTGACTTTGGTCCTAAAAAATTATTTCTTTATTTCTTTATAACAGTAAATATATAAGAAATCCCTAGCGGAGGGTACCAAGAGGAATAGACTGGGTATAAATACAAAATGTAAAACTGATATGTAAATAATAATCCTTCTATCTTTACTTGAAAGAAGCTATAATTAATTTTCTGACCACAACAAACAATTCTACAGAAGTTTAACGCAACTGCAGAATCCATTGATTAAAGCGTATAAAAGCTTCCATGCAAGTACAACAAGAACAAAACATATTGTTAAACTAACCTTTTACGTAAACGGGATTATTAACAATAATCTTGTCTTTTGAAGCATCTGGAAACGAAGAGCATCTTTGTGAAGCAAGCTATTGCTATGTTCTTCTAGAGCACTCATCTGCATATTCCTATTGCCTTCATTCCCATAAAGATTTCTTCTGTGAAACAAACAATCAATGAGAGAAAACACTTTCAAGGAATTAATTTGTGAAAACAAAATGAAAGCCAAAAACAAGATTGAGACCATCAAGTACCTAAATTGAAGTAATCAACTTTCTTAGTCACCTCCGAACTTGCTTGTTGCATAGAGTTGTAACAGTCTTAAAAGATGAAAAGCTACAGTGTGAAGTATGATGGACTTTGGCCCTAAAAGAAAGAGTGAGAAGGTAGATTGAAGCCGAATTTAGGACATGTTAAGGTTTTAAAAACAGGTGAAAATTGTATAAACAACAACCACCACTACCAAGCCTTTTTCCCAACTACTTGGGGACGGCTACATGAATCCTATGTTTCCATACCGCTCTATCTAAGGTCAAAGACTCAATCAAGCACATGCTATCATATCCTTCTTTACTAACTCTACCTACATTAACTTTGATCTTCCTCTTCCCCTAGTATGTGGACTATGCCACTCTTCCTAACTAGCGCTTTTAAGGTCTTATTTGCACACGTCCAAACCATCTTAACCGATTTCCTCTCATTTTATCTCTGATTTGTGCTACTCCAACCATCTTCCGAATGTGATCATTTCTAATTCTATCCTTTATAGTCTAACCGCTAATCCATCCCAACATTTATATTTCCACCACACTCAATTTATGCCTATATTGTTTCCTAGTTGCCCAACACTCTGTGCCATAAAGTATGGGTACCCTAATAGTGGTTCGATAGAACTTCCCTTTCAATCTTAAGGGGACACGCCTATCACAAAATAGACTAGATGCACTCCTCTATTTATACCATCTTGTCTTGGGTATCTTCCTATATGCTAACAATGGATGTAGGGATATAGTCATTGATTTGAAAGCTAAAATTGTTGAAGGATTTAAATATTAAATCTACACCCTCTCTAACAACTTAAGCTTTTAGAGTAGATGGTTGTTAACATGGTATCGGAACAGGCAAGTCCTGTGTTCAAACTTCACCATCACTCTCATAATTAAAATTAAAACACGTGTTGTTTAAGTGTGAAAGTTAAACATTAAAGTTATACCCTCTCTAACAACTTAAACTTTTAGAGTACATGGTTGATAACAAAAGTAATAAAAAACTTCATATGAAAGACTTTGTTCATATAAGGTAGAAGAAAGAATGATAATATGAATATTCCAAGTTGAGTCTCGTGTTGTGAAAATTAAGCATTGTAATGTTTGTACCTATTATAAATATTAGTGTGAAATATCATTTTTCTGTACCAAATAAAATGAGTATGACCTTTAATCATGCTCAATTTTCATGGAAAAACATGACCCCGTGTATAACTAATTCAACTCAGAGACACACAGAGAGAGAGAGAGAGAGAGATTTCATGTGTAGCCAGCCAAAAATCATATACATAGCTGCCCATCCAAACATGGTATCTCCTACCCCCCAAAGTGGAAAGTTAGGGTTTAAGTTTTCATAGGGGTAAAAGAGTGTGAGTATCTTGCCAAGGTAAAATAAAATAAATAAAAATCTCTCAACTTCCTTTTGCAATTAATACTTCCACTTAAGCCTTTTCCCAACATTGAACTATCCGATATATTTACAAGAGTAAGATGTACAAGCAATAGCTTATAACATATAATCAAAGATTTAAAGGATTACTAAAGCTACTCCAGCAGGAAGTTTGGTTCCAAGGTATTTGGCACGTTTTCTCGCTGTTTTTTTCTCCTTGGTCTCCATAAACTCCAATGGACTTCTTATAAGAAGTGGATTGCGAGGATCAAAAGTAATCTTCTCAAGCATGACAGCACTCTTAATTAAATACATTGCAAGCTCAACATCAATTGTAAGCCCAGCAAACCCAATGAATTCCACCACCTTAAGGTACTGATGGGGCCGAGATGTAAACAGTCGCAACAATTGCAGCTGTAACAAGGAGGCTTGGAGTCATACGGTGCTTTAAACATCTAAGTAAACAATTAACATACAAAACCAAAATACCAAGCATTAAATCTTAATTGCTGAGGGCAAGTTAGAATCATGACATTGCTAGACTCAATTGAAGAGCCAAAACGAAATGATCCACACGTTCCATGGAGATTGAACACCAATATGACTAAACAAGATCAACAAAATTTCTTTTATGACATTAGTCACTCTGCTTATTGTTTTTTTTTCCTAGTTATCGCCTATTTTGATTTCACTATGCGTATTGTTGCAACCATAAATAATTATTCTGCCAATTTAAAAAACCTTTAATTGATCCATAAAAAAATTACTCAAGCACTCAAGAAATAAAATCAAGACAAGTTTAAAAGCTTAGGAATGACAACCAATGGATTAACTATCAGTAGTAACATTGCCAAATTGTCCACAAATAATAACTAAAGATCCTGAAAGATATATTAAACTTCTGCCACTGCAAGGTACTCTCGGGAAGTAATAGAAAGAGGATGATTCCCATTGTGCCGTTGGCTTGCATTTTTCATCTTCCAATCATGGGATCAAATTTCTGACTGGGGTTTCTTAGTTTGTTTTGTTCTTTAATTGTCTGTGCCTCTTAATTTATTGAATGATCTCTGTTCCTTCTCAGTTCTTCCTAGTGCAATATCAATTTCTCCTTTTTCACAACATTGTTCTCTTCACACCTTTCTAAGAGTTGATGAACTAATAGATCGGTGGGTTCATTCTAAGCATGTATGCTTGGGCCTAAATAACATGGAATCACTTAATCAGTCACATCCTCAATTACTGATCTATATGGATGTTTTTGCCTTTAAACCAAAACAACTCGGACACAACAAGATAAACCAAAAATGGAGTATAATACTGAGCAATCACTCAACAATCTGACTAAAGTAAACCATATTCGAATTACACTTTTGAGAGCAAAGAATCCTCGATACTAGCATGGTTGAAAGAGAAAAACAAAAAATAGAAGAAGAAAACAGTGTGTTAGAGATAAATTCACACGGTTCTGAAGGGCAACAATACTGAATCTAACCAAATAAGGATACAACCTCAAGAGGACCTACTCTTGGACAAGTTCTTGAGCAATTCATTAGTATCCATGGCAAAGGTACTTGAATAATCATGAGAATAAAGCAATCTTAGAATGTGTAACATATTAAATGACCATGTAAAACTCTTAGGTAGTAAATATTAAATCAACATGGGAACAACACAATGACATAAATGCAGGTTGTAAAGTAAAACTCATTACCTCCAACACAAATTTATACAAGAAAGGACATGCCTCTATTAGGGGAGCAAAAACCATAAGTTCTTCATTTTCAATTGCACTAATTCTCTAACTCCAGTTGCTTGAGCTTATTAAATACAGGAAATTTGGCTAAACCAATACTATTCTGAATAAACCAAGGAAAAACTAAATCAGCACAGATTATTAATTATGGTAAAAAAGAACATAAATAAAAATTAAGGGGGGGAGATCAAATGAATTTGTTACACTCACTAACCTTGATGGAGGTCATGTGCAAGGTAAGGCTCTCTAGCTGGGAAAGATAGCTTGAAATCCCCAAAATGTTATAAATTAGATATTTGCAATACTCAGCCCCGATATACATTTCAACAGAATCTGGAGGTCCTTAAATGGCAGGCCTATTTTTGGTCCGAAGTATTTAAAAGACATAAGATTCATTGCAGAAATCTCAATACTTTTCACATAGTGGCAATAAGTTATCTCCAAGCGCTTCAATTTGATTGATACATTGGGAACTTTCAGATTTACTAGACAGTCAGAGTCTTGCACAGACAATTGTTCCAGAAATGGACACTTAGTTAAGAAGTACTCGAGAACTTGTCCAGTTACATTCACATGTGCCAGCAGGAGATTGGTTAGGGAGTTGCAGATAGTAAACCCAAGAGACAATGAATGCAAGTGATTTGTAATCCGACCCGTGTCAGGAAAATTGTAGCACGTCTTAACAATAAGGAAGTCCACGAATGTGATCCTCCAAACACAACCCTCCTTTATCAACCTTCTCACTATTGCAATTTTAAAATTAAAAAAACAATAAAAATTATTAAGAAATTGTGATAACAAAAACAATACAAAAATGCTCAATTTTTGTAACATAAGTTGTTCATCGAAAAATAAAATAAATAGAGATATACAAATCCATACATTAGTGAAAAGATGGTTTGAATTTTTACCTGGTTTTCTCCATGGGATTTGATTTTGTCCAAAATCCAACACAAACAGCTGAAGATTCGAGAGATAGCTTGTTTGCTAAGAGACTTGCTTGCTTTGTTCCACGCAGTGAAAAAAGTAGCCTATAAAACAACATCACATTCATACTCCGGGTTGAATAAGGTTTGCACTCTTCGTGTCTTACTAGGTTTAGGATTTTCTTTTTTTCTTTTTTTCTGCCAAAAAAAAGAAGAAGAAGAAGAAGAAGATAAAAAATAAAAAATAAAAGAAGAAGAAGCAGAAGACGTACGCAGTTGGCTGGCTGGTCGCCCACTTCTCTGAGAAACAAAAGGCAACAGAGAAAATAATAAAATAAAATAAAAAGGATAAAGTGTAAAAAAATAAAAATTGTTATATAGAGAATGTGTAAATATCTTTTTTGTTTAAAAATTTACCTTATATTTTTTCAAATTGAGTAAATAAAGACAAATCTTTTATATGAAGACTGAAATTTCTAAACTGTCCTTAAGACAAAATATAAAAAAAATTAATTTTAAAAACTTTAAATTTTAAAAAATAAACAAAAATATAAATAAAATACTAAATATATAAGGGCATTTTACAAAAATATATAAAAACCCCAAAAAATTATATATTTATTGTTTTATTTATTTTTCTATTTTTATTTATTTAAAAAAATCCCTAAAATCCCTTAAAGTTATTTTGGGATTTTTATAAAAAAAAATTTGGTCAAAATTGTTGACTGGGGGACAATTTGTTACAAAATTTTAAAATATAGAGATTTATATGCAATTTTTAAGAAGCAGATGTGTTTTTTGCACATTTTTTATATAGTATGGGAGTATTTTAGCACTTTACCTAATTAAATGTAGTAATGATATGTTACATTAACGCCTGCCATAATATGGAACTTTAATTTTTGTTTCATAAGATTGGACTTCAAAAGTAAAGATTAAAAGCGTTAAAGTTAAATTTTCTATGAGTTTTAAAAATTATGTATTATATCTATCTCGAAACTCAATATTTATTTAGACAACAATAAATGTTATAAAAATTAAAAATAGGAGGCCAATTGAAATTTGCAAAATAACTATTGAAACCTAGGGTATATCCCAAAATTTCAAAATTTTGGGATATGCCTTCCTCCTTTATCAACACCTTTCATCACTGTTTTAGTCTTTCAGTGCAACGTTACTCCTTTTTAATTTGGGATTAACAGAAAAAGTAATAATAATAACTAACACAATGCATCATGGTAATGTTTTTTTTTTTTTTTTCTGCTAATTAAATACTAGTCCACTAAATATTAAATATTTCAAGAATATCTAATAATTTTTTGTAATTTTAATAATATTTTTCTCTTCTAAAATAGAAAATCAACTGTTGAGGCGTTCAAGGATGGACCTACATGTAGCTAAGGGGACAATGTGTCCCCTGATTTTTTTTTTTTTTTTTTTTAATAGTAATTTACTCTTTGTTAATTTGGTTTTTTCAATTATACATCTATTAAATATAACTATTGTCCCTTGAAATTACTAAAAAAATTCATTATTACCCACCTCACCTTATTATTCGGTCCGTTCCTGGGTGTGTTAGTGTGTTTTGTAAAAAGTATAAATAAATAAATATAAAATTCGGTGGTACAAAAGAGGAGGAATTCAAAAATAGAAAAATAAATAAAAAGAAATAACTTTTCCATACGAAATAAGTACGTCCCCGTTTGAAAAGAAGTCCATGTTCTGATTCGAGAGAGCTGTTCAAATGTTCGGTGGCTTGCAAGGAATTGGGAAGAAGAAATGGGGAAGACAACAATCTTGATATTTTAACATTTCTTTTTTTTTTCTTTTTTTTTCGAGTTTTATCAAATAATCAGAAACTAAACACAACAGTATAATCCTAATTATTTAATTGAGAAATGTTATGACGTATGTGTGATGACACAGTTCAGTACACAAATCTTACTCAAAATAATATTCTGAAGTGTTTTTTTGGGTTTTATTTGGTAATTTGTGTAACAAATTCAAATTACACAATATAACATCAAAAATTCAAATTACAAAGATAAATGTTATATATATAGAATAACAGAAAGAAAATGTATGCTTAAGAATATAATGTTCTCTTTGCAATATGTCATTGACTTTTGGATGTTGGACCTGAAAACAAATTAATGGGAACCACTAAATTACAAAGGATGTCCAAGTCCAATGGTCTGGCCATCAGATGTTACATAAGTTCAATCAAATTAAAAATTTGTTAGTGAATTATTTTTAAATAGAACTCAACTCACATTTGTGATTTGATTTAGGTTGTGACTTTAAATAGAGCAAATAGAAATATATATAAGATTTATGTAGCTGACAATAAGTAATTCAAAAAAAGACTTGGTTGTTATAGTTATAGAACTCAACTTATATGGTTCATCTGTATTGTTTTAATTTTATTTTTTGTACTTCACTTTTATAATCATATCATCATCTTTACCTTTAATCTCATATGAATGGTTCTGTTTATTTATTATCTTCCTCCAATCTTTTTTATTACATACTATGTGCACTACTGTATAGATCTCAAAATAGCATGTGGAGAGGTTTTCTTTGTTTTTTTGGGTTATGAGGTGTGCATTGCATGTGAACTTTATTGTTCTTGTCATTCTCTCTAGTGGTCCAATTTTATTTAATTGTGAAAAGTAACAACAATACAACATTACTTTTTCTGTTCTAAAATAAGTGTTCGTTTTAAAAATTGTGATTATAATTTTTTTAAAACTCCTTAAGTCTTATAAAGTGGGTGTGGGAGAGAGGTGCGAGTACCAAAACATAAAAGTAATAAAATCTAAGTCATACACAATGAGAACGGGAGCGAGAGCGCGTGCGAAATACGAGAGTGAGAGCGACACTCGTTTAGAAGAATTGTGTGACTTAGGTGATAAGAACACAAAATTTAATATGAATTTTTTGTTTTTCATAATTTGTTTTAATAAGAAAAGGCATTAAATATAATTCAATAAGACGCGGAAAAATTGGAAATAAAAAAAGAAAAAAGAAGTTTACTAGTGAAGGTAAGAAATATTTACAAAAAGTTTACTAGTGCCTGAAATGAGTGGGTCTCGTCATTGTGCATTTGTGCCACTGTGAGTTTCGCTGAATCCGAGTAACTAAAATAGCAAAAGCACATTTGAATTTGTTAACCATAAAAGCCGAGAGAAATTAATTGTCCTAAATTAATCAATTAACTTGGTAAATCAGATTCTTCTCTTGACATTTATTTTTATTTATTTTTGTTTTAAAATTTTAAAACACGTACACACCAGCAATATTACTTTTAACGGGTACTTAAACATTTAACCACATTATGAATAGGCGAGATCATATCAGACTGGGACGGACCTACTACATGCATGCCATAAAATATTACTATTGCCCCGTGAAATTTTTATTATTTTTCCTCCGCAGTAAACAATCAAGGACTCTAGGATAGTAATAATATATATATATATATACCCTATTGTTTTTTAAAATTGTTTGTATGGTTTGTGATTTCAAAAAAATAAGACAAAGACACCACCACAATGTATCTTGGGATGGTAGGATTTGAGTCCAACCTTCTAAAAATATATACTTGAGCCCAGGAGGGTTCGTTATTGGGCCTTTAATTTTTGTTTGCAATGGTGCTCATTATCAACCCAATCAAATTCACAATGCCCTAAATGTCTAATATAAAAATAACATAATATATTGGGCCATTCAAGAGTGAAAAAACATTTGTTGCAAAAAGTAATATTGATACGAAAGGTCAGGCCTAATTTAGGTTTCTGTAATCAGCCCGCCCCAATAATTTGTGAGAAACTCGACTCCAACCCATTGTTTTGAATACAAATCAGATTTGTGGGACCACGAGCCTTCCAAATTTATATCTTATAATATAAAAAAATACATTTATTTAACTCATATTACAGTTTTTATACTCTTTGATGGACAATGTTGTTGGTTGTGGTCCACTGGCCCATTCGAATCAAAATAATAGGTTGTAGTCGAGTTTTCTCATAATCAAATTTTCAATCTCAATTTTGAAAACCCATGGTCAAAATTAGTAAGGGACCTAAATTGTTGGGCTGGTCCTAATTGGGCTGAAATAGATACTGTAGCATGTTGCTAATCAGTAGGCATGTGACAGGGCACCCTCTTTCCAAACTCATCCCATCAAGAAAAATATTTTTTCAAACCCGAGCCGAGGCGTCCAAATATACATATATTTTAAGAAAAATAATTCAAACTTAAATAAATATAAGGTAAATTTTATTAAAAAAAATTTTAGTATAATCAAATATTTAAGAATCATAATAACAAAAATATTGTTAAAATCTAAAATTATCCTTAGAAATAAAGAAAAATAAAAATTAGAGCTAATATATAAATATTTATTTATAAATTAATTATCAATGGGGACGGGTTCGGGGATTTGCGGGTTTTAAACCGTCTTCCCAAACCCGTCCCTAACCTGATTATAATGATTCCAAACCATTCCCATTAGAGGCGGGACGGATATGCTCTGCTATGGTCTTGGCTTGGGTTGTGGGGAATACTATATGAAAAGAGATTCTTCGAATATACGTGCTGAACTTCCTTCAGGTTTCCTACAGCCAACATATATTCAAAGAATCTCTTTTCATATAGTATTCCCCACAACCCAAGCCAAGACCATAGCAAAGAAAATGACAGACAACATTGAAGCCAAAATCATAGTAGCATGTAACTAGTAGCACATCAAAGAAAGTAGCAGACAAACCATTGAACTAAAATATATACCAAACTCATAATTATTTTTAATTCTACTTCAACTAGTCCAGAATATTAGTTGCATGCATCTGGAAGTAAAATCATAAGGAAAGAGATATTCACATCACACGATATCATATCAAAATAATTCTACAGTGTGAGACTGCATTTGAAGAACAATTGTCATTTCATTTTCTACAAAAAAAACATATAATACGCAACAGCATAAAGCAAAGTCCAAGTATCATCACCCAATCAAAAAAATCACAGTTAATCAGCTGTAATAATGAAGCAAATAGCTCTTATGCTGGAACGATTATGGCAGATTGTTCCATGGTCTACAACCAGGAGTATTTCATTCAATGGAAGAAACGAAAGTGATAACTAAACCGAAATTTTTAGTCCCATAGTTAGCAATAATGATGCCGTGTCAACATGGAAATTTTAGAATAAATTTGATCAACTGGAATTTGTCACATTAACAGATTTAAAGCATCAACTATCGTCAAAACAATATGGTACATGGCAGACTACAAAAGAACCTGAATTTGCCACATTATTATCAGCACAAGATTCCTCCAAATGGCAAAACCATTAATCCATCATATCAAGTTGCTATTTTTTTGGCAGAGAAAAGAGGATGAAATCAATCCTCTAAAGAATCAGAGGGTAAACTGCAAAAAAAATGAATAATGCAAACAGATACTAATATGTCTTGGATCGAATACAATCCCTGCAAGCATCAAATATCAATCATACCAGGCATCGGAAATCCTACATTATTGATCCAACAAAAAAAGAGTATCACTTTCTCATAGTCTTACAGGCGAAGAGCATTGTATTTGTCAATCATAATCGCAGCAGTTCACACCTTCGCAGGTGCAGTACCACCAGTAGTTGGCCTAAAAGGAGAAACAAAACCTCGTTATTTCAAGGTAAAGAAGTATACTACACTGTTGAGAAATAGCTGAAAACAAGAACATCCATATATGTAGGTTAAAATTAGATAATAAGGACATATAAGTATAATATAAATTTCCACAGGGAAAATCATAACTAAAACAGAAAAAACTTACAACCCAACAAAAACTTTGAAAGCTTCATAGATACCCCACTGCGCTCCAGTAAGGGTTCCGATCTTGACAATAAGAAGAGGAAGGCCACGGGTAAACAAACCCCACAAGCCTAGCTTCTCTACAGCGTGTAACATGCACAAATAAATAAGTATAACAAACACAGTGACCCTAAAGAAAGAAAATAGAAGGGCATTAGCATTACTCAGTGGCCTAGTTAGTAGAGAGCCCAACTCTCTGAGCGGGTGTGCCGTGTTCGAGTCCCTCCTCACCCTAGTTTGCCAGGATAATACATATATATATATATATATACACATATATATATATTTAAAGAAATTACATATTTTAGTATCAGCATCTTTAACTCACATCCAGATTATCAGCAAGATGTGATACGATCGCACAGAATACACCAGCAACATATCCACCAGCAAAGCTCACCCCAAGCTGCAAGCTTTTGCTGCACTGGTCTTTTGGAGTTGGGATAGCATACTTGTAGAGCATCTCCACAATGGTCTCAAAAGATGCGAACTTCATCATTGTATCTGTCAAATATCCAATTTTTTTTATTGTCAGAGGGCCTCCTAAGAAGGGATTATCAGGTGTAATTCTTCTAATGAAACATAAAAGTAGAAACAAGGCAAAGAAACCACAACTCCAGCCACTCAAAATACTTACTATAGTTATGTCTCATGTGCGCCAAATTTTAGACAGACAATAATGTACCAATTGATTATTAAATACTAGATGATATTAAATCACATCAACTAGCTACTTAAATAGACCTCACTCCTTCAAATGCCAATCTTTAACAATGTAAAAGGCCTAAGGGCCATGCGAAGACTACACATGAAGCAACCACAACACATTCGTCAACTGAATATCAGCAACAGTTGGAGTATCGACCCAATGGGCACTGCAGGGGGTATTGGTCTTTTTTTGCAGGAAGATGGCGTATTCCGTATAATTGATCAATGTGACTTCCAGGTTACACTTGAATTTTGTTCAATCCAACAAAGGTAATTGGGTTCTCATTATCATTTATGCAAGCACTGATGACCGTATTAGGGCAGCCCAATGGGATTATCTACAACAGAGAGAGCATAATTGGAATCATTGATGGCCCATTATAGGTGACTTTAATGATTTATTAATGCCAACTGAGAAGAAAGAAAGAGAGAGGGGGGAGAGGAGGTTTGGATACCAGAGGAAAATCCCTGCTAATATATCCAGGAACGATTGGATAGAGCATTGGCTAGTGGAGAATGGCAGCATATTTTCCGGGTGGAGTTACCCATCTTACTGTTCAGGTTCTGATCATTGGGCTCTTCTATTGAATTTATATCCTAATTTCAGCAAGAACCATCGTCAATTCTATTTTGATGTTCGTTGGGTTTTGGACGAGCGATGTGCGGATATTATCCGTACTGCCCGGCAAGGTGCTATTCAGGGGTCTCAGATGTTCAAATGGTCTGAAAAAATTAAAGCCTGCAAATTAGCTTTATTGCAGTGGGCATTCTCTCGGTCTTGTAATTCACGAAGAAATATTTAGGTCTCTGAGGCTTGTCTTAAGCAGCTCAAGGAAGACTCTCAGAACTACAACCACTAACAACTTTCTCCAAACAGAAAAATACCACCAGAATTATTGACGCGACGAGGAAATTTATTGGGGCCAGAAATCTCAGATCCAATGGTTGAAATTTGGTGATCGAAACTCCAAGTTTTTTCATCCTTCTACAATCTGCCGAAGGAGGAGAAACAATGTTTCTGGAATTGAAGATCTCAGTGGGAAATGGCACGAGGATGAATCTCAAATTCAGGCTATTTTTCAAACCCAATCCCCTACCAACATTGCTTCTTTTATTCAGCATGTTCTAGTGAAGGTACATGTATATGTATCTTACTACCGGGCAACCATGTATGGGCTGGGTGATCAAAACTCTGCCAAATTGGTTGGGTTGAATTTGGCCCATCCACCAAAATAAAATTACCATCATCACGAAGAATTGCTACTAAAGAAATTGAAATGCTAGAGCTTATGTTTGTGGACCAAGTTTGGGACTCATTGACAAGCACTAAGTTACCATCTAAAATTTTCAGTTCTGATGAGAATACATGTTAGAGACACCTCTCTCTGTCATTTGGGAGAGAGAAAAAAGAAATAGACATTTCATGTGTAGTTGCAAAAAATTATATACACGGCTGCCCATCCATCTTTCTCGGTCAGTAATCTCTCCACTGTACCACCAAGGACAGTAGCCTAGTTGTATCTCCTACCTCCCGAAGTGGAAAGTCAGGGTTCAAGTTCTCATAAGGGCACAAGAGTGTGAGTTTCTTGCCAAGATAAAATAAATAGATAAAAAATCTATCTACTACCTTTTGCAATTAATGCTTCCTCTTAAGCCTTTCCCAACATTGAACTATCCTATATATAATACCAAATAAATTAAAAGGAGAAGGATGTACAAGCAATTGCAGAAGGAAGTTCGGTTCCAAGGTACTTGGTACGCTTTCTCGCTGCTTTTTTCTCCTTGGGTCTCCATGAACTCCCAAAGACTTCCTATAAGAAGCGGATAGCGAGGATCAAAAGCAATCTTCTCAAGCAATACAACACTCTTTATTAAATACATTGCAAGCTTAACATCAATGGTAAGCCCAACAAACCCAATGTATTCCACCACCTTAAGGTTCTGACCTTAGCCATTTTCTTCTCAGAATGGGCTTGGACCATTGCAGCTGTAACAAGGAGGAATGGAGTCATACGGTGCTTTATACATTTAAGTAGACCATTAGCATACAAAACCAAAATACCAAGCATCAAATCATAATTGCTCAGGGCAAGTTAGAATCATGACATAGCTAGATTCAATAGAATAGCCAAAACGAAATGTTCCACACGATCCATGGAGATTGAATGCCATGTTGTTATCATATAACTCAGCAAGATAAAAAATAAAAATAAAAAAGAAATTCTTTTATGGCTCTAGTCATTCTGCTTATTGTGCAAGCATAAATAACTATTCTGCTTTAGACATAAGATTGAGTGGACATGCAATTTAGAAGACCTTTAATTGATCCATAGAAAAAATACTCAAGCATTTAAGAAATAAAATCAAGACAAGTTAAATGCTTAGGAATGACAAAAGATGGATTAACTTTCAGTAGTAACAACGCCAAAGTGTCCACAATTAATAACTAAATATCCTGAAAAAATAAATTAAACGTCTGCTACTGCAGGGAACTCTCGGGAAGTAGAACAAAGGGAATGATTCCTATTGTGTTTTTTGAATGGCATTCTTCAGCATTTTTCATCTTCTAATTATGGGGTCAAATTTTTACTGGGGTTTCTTAGTTTGTTTTTGTCTTTAATTGCCCGCAACTTTTAATTTATTGAAGAATCTCTGTTCCTCCTCCCCACTGCAATATCAATTTTTCCTTTTTCACAACATTGTTCCCTTACCAATAGAATTTTAAGGAAAGAGAAAAGATTTCAAAGTTACCTTGTAATGGACAGCAGACCGTGACACCTTTCTAAGAGTTGAACTAATAGATTGGTGGGTCCATTCTAAGCATGTATACTTGGGCCTAAATAACATGGAATCAGTCATATCCTTGATCATTGATCTAAATGGATGTTTTTGCTTTTACACCAAAACAACTCAGAGACAACATGAAAAAGCAAAAATAGACTATAACGCTGAGCAATCACTCAGCAATCTGATTAAAGTAACCATTTTCGAATTAAACTTATATTGAGAGCAAAGTATCCTCGATACTAGCATGGTTGGAAGAGAGAAAGGAGAAAGAAAAAGAAACACTGCATTAGAGATGAATTCACACTGTTCTGAAGAGCAATAATGACTAAATCTAACAGAATAAGGCAACAGTCCAAGAGTTCCTATTTTGGGAGGAGTTGTGAGCAATTAATTAGTAATTTAGTATCAATTGCAAAGATACTTGAACAATCACAAGAATAAAGCAATCTAAGAACACGAAACATACTAAACGGCCATGTAAAACTCTCAGGCAATAAATATTAAATCAACATGGGAACAACAAAATGATATATATTCAATTACAAAATCAAGCAGGAGAATAGATCAAGCTAAACAGTATAAGATCATTTTTCCTATTACTGATAATATTGTAATTTGTAATAGCCATAAAGAAGGAAGTAATTGCTCGGGAAAATTGAAAGCTTTTAAGCCAAAGTCCAAATGAATCAAATTTCCATTTGGAAATTCAATTACGAAAGCAATAAACGTCATAGTTTAGAAATGCAGGTTGTAAAGTAAGAAGTATTACCTCCAACACAAATTTATACAAGAAAGTACATGCCTCAGGGGAGCAAAAACAATAAGGTCTTCATCATCACTAGCACTAATTCCCAACTCCAGTTGCTTGAGCTTATTAAATATAGGAAATTTAGCAAACCCAATACTATTCTGAATAAACCAAAGAAAAAGTAAATCAGCACAGATTGAATAAAATAAAATTAAAGGGGGAGGAGATAAAATGAATTAGTTCCACTTAATAACCTCAATGGAGGTCATGTGCAATGTAAGGCTCTCTAGCTGAGAAAGATTACTTAACATCCCCAAAAAAGTTAAAATTAGAGATTTGCAAAACTCACCCTCGATATACAGTGCAACAAGCTTCTGTATGTTCTTAAATGGCAGGTTTATTTTTGGTCCGAAGTACTTACGTGACAGAGATTCATTGCAGAAATCTCAATATTTTCAACATTGAAGCAGTTAGTTATCTCCAAGTGCTTCAATTTGAGTGATACATCAGGAACTTTCAGATTTACGAGTCAGTGTCTTGCACAGACAATTGTTCCAAAAATGGACAGTTAGTTAAGAACTACTCAAGAACTTGTCCAGTTAAATTCACATGTGCCATCAGAAGATTGGTGAGGGAGTTGCAGCTTGTAAACCCAGGATAAAATGAATGCAGGTTATTTGTAATATGACCCGTGTCAGGAAAATTGTAACCCCCATCCGTTGAACATTCTGACAAGTCTAACTCAAGCCTTTTAACTCTCTTTTCTATTGCAAAATTAACCCAATTGTCAATGTCAAATCTACAGCTTTTATCGAGATCAAATTGAACTCTGAATTCATCTATACTTGGACCACTGTATGATTTCAAGACTTGATTAACCCAACTCATATACAAAGGCCTTTCTTCTTCAAGTTCCTTGTCTCCCAGTAGCGTTACATTTATTACATTTATACCTCCATCTCTTTAGCTTGGCAGAATTTCAAAAGTATTATTATGACATGTTTGGATCAATTCTATAAAAACGATTCTCAAAAACAAAAACAGTTTTCATGAAATCCAATCTCTGACAAGAAAGAAAAAGAAAAAAATACAGAACACATATTTTCAGGATGAAATAAAACCTTACAAGATTTTATAGATTCGATCTGCAGATAGGTTGCACTGCTTGACTTTACAATCCGAGATGAGATGTATCGAGGGCTGCCCTCCGTAGACTTTTAGATCTAGGGTTTATTTTTAACTCTTAAATTTAGAGAACCAACTGTTGAGATGGATTAGAATCTAATGGCTGAAATGAAATCTTATGAACTAATTGAATTATCAACTCTTTGGGCCTCATTAATAAAATGAAAATGATGCAAGTTGAACTAAACTTATACTCATATGGACTCAACCTTTTAAATATATAATGGTAAACATATATGGGCCTTTGAGTTAACGGGTTTGTTTTCCGTTCCGTACATTGTAGGCCCAGTGATGGCACGATCTACAATGTTGATCTGAATTCCCATATGTGAATTGTACTTATTATTATATGTTTAGTAAATAAATATAAATTTACAATTTTAATGTGCCAAATTATCTCAACAAAGAAAAAAAATAAAAAAACACATGCCTCCATGGAGGCTCGAACCCCTAACCTTCCTTTAAAAAATAGTGACCTGGTACCTAATGTTGATGATCAAACAACATTTTATAACATACTAGCAAAGAGCACGTGCATTTGCACGTGATTAAATATCTTTGATAATTTCGTAAATAATTCGTTCAAAATATAAATTATTACTATATAATATTGTAAATCATGTTATATTATTATTTTTTCCCCCAATAAGAGATATGATATTATCAATTATATATTGAGAACTACCAAAAGCTCATAAATTCACTTTCTATGCAGTATTAAAATAATGAGCTCGGAAACAAGATCAAATAAAAATAGAGCCAGAATGAAATGCACACACCAAATATGTATGCATTAAATAATATAACGAAGTCTGTCAATCTAATCAAACATCAAATTTTATGCTCTATGAACATAAGATTGAAATCTAAACTTATTGATAAAACCAAAAGATTTGGTTTTACCAAATGAAATCTAAACTCATTGAGTCTTAATATGAGTACAACAAAGTTTGTAGATTCATTGACAGTAAAAGATCACACGAAGTTTGAAAATAAAGAACATAAAGCATGATAATATCATATGAAGAGATACCAAGACTTCAGATTTTACTATTAAACATTTCTTTGAACAAATGATATTTTTGTCATGGATTATGTTTCAATAATTCTAATGATTCTAATGAAGAGGACTCTTAAAATTAGGCCCTCTAACAAATACGCAATCTAAATCATAATAAATACATAATTAGAGCAAAATATTAATTTTATAAATCTGAGCTATTACTTACTTATATTTCCTAAGGACTGCATGAGTTAGCTCCTCTCTTTCTCCCACAAGTATTTGGCCCTCTAAAATCGGTGCAGGTATTTGGTTTAAATAATATTGTTCTTTCACTAAATTTTTGCAATAATAATACGAATGTAAAGCTATATTACCTTCAATTCTACCGTTGATCTTGATCTGAGAAAGTCTGTATCCTTTCTTTAGTCAAGTGACAATGCTGACTCTTGCAATGCGATATTCTTGGACCTTCAAATTTAGTAATTCAACATCATAAATGGAAAAGAAAATTGTTAAAAACTATATACATAACAAATTGAATATAAATTTAATTATGTACATATATGGATGTGTGTCAAAAGGAAGAAAAGAACAAAAAAGAGATCATTTTCGGTAAAAATGTTCTTTTTTTAAGAGAGTCCCCGCGCTCATCAATCATGTTACTCGCAGTAAGTACTTGAGTGAAAAAAATTTGTCCCACATTTGACTAACAAACCCTACAAATTGAACAAGAAGTTTAGACAAATATTTTATATGAAGCATTAAGTTTGAAAAGTATAATTAAATAAAATATGTAGTATAGATTTTTGTGTGCACAAACCTATATTTTTATTCCATCTTCATCAAGCCACAAGTAATCAAGAACTTGAGCGGCGCATGGTGATATACTTTAACCCATTTACGTATGTTCCTTGCCCTTTCCACACGTACATCTTTGGTGATGTATCCACATCCTACTCCCAATTCCTCCTTAGCAAAAATACTTCTTATTTTCGTTAACTATTATATTGTGTCAGCATAAATAATATCCAGAGAGATGGCCTAAATTGGGGTTGAGAGAGAGAAGGGAATGATTTATCATCTTGAATAACTCTTGAGATAACATTATGAATATGACTCATTCTGAAGTTTCAAAGCAAAATCATCTTGAGTAACTCTTGAGATAAATGTTAGGAATGTGAATCATTGTGTACTTTAAAAGCAAAATAGTTATAAGTGAACACGAACCGTTATGTAGTGAAATATAATGGTATAAGAATTTTTGTGATCCCATGCGTTTGTGAAAGAGTGGGTAATTTTTATTATTAAAATAAATTATTTACGCATCATTATGTGTTTTAATGAGTATTTTATATTTTAAAAAAAAAATCAAAATTGTTAAGAAAATTACACTTTTAGAATAGTATAGATATAGATATAGATAGATAGACACAGATAATTCACGAACCGTGAAAGACCAATTCGGTTGTGAATCACAGTTTTCTTTTGATAATTATTTTACTATTGACGGAACAAACTCAATAACTCATTGCCAACCACATAAATTTGTTTTATAAGCAAATACAAGTTTATACAGCAATAATAAACCTATGAAGAAATAAAAATATATTTGTAATCTAAAAACGTGACATGTTCTGGGGGTTATAAATATAATTTTAATCTAAAATATATCTGTATACTTCTGTGTAGTTTTATATTTGTAACATGTGTCATACAGAAATGCTTCTCAATGTGCATGAAAATGTATACACACATCAGGTATTAACCGTCAAATCTCATTTGTTAGTTAAAAAAAGTAGCTTATGTTTCTATATCCAATGGTGACTCAGAAAATTATGAGGGGGGCTTTAAATTTGTGAGGGCAAACTTATATAGTGGGTCCATTTTTGTAATTTCAGTGGGGGCATCATCATAAATTCTCAAAAATTAAAAATATAAAATGCAAAAAAAAAAAAAAAATCTGGCCCCCACTGGTCCTATTATGGGTCCGTACCTGACGGTGAGGATTTAATTCGTAGAAAAAAAAATTTGCAGCTGAGGTGAACGCTCCTAATGTGTTGTATTATTATTTATTAATGTTATAATATATATATAGTCCACGGTTTGATCCTAATGGACTTGGAACCAAAATCGTAAACTAATAGTAACCAAACAATAAAACACCAAATCGAAGGGACAATTTGGTTCAACTCGAACCGATTTACTCATTCCAACTCCCTTTTTCTTTTTTTTCTCTTTTTTCTTTTTTTTTTTTTCTTTTTTGCATTCCTATTAGAAACCATAAGACCAAATCTAGCATTTTATACCAATTATTTCAATCAACTCCTATAATTTCTAGAAATGAAAATTTTAGCCACTCATTCAGTAACATTTCTGCCACTAGATTGAGCCTGTGATTCTAAGAAGAGTCTTACTAGTTAATGTTCAGAAACTGAGAGAAGGTTCAGCCATTGCACCATTTTCGTAATCTCTGCAAAATAGACTCTTTAGCAATGGTGGGATTAGAGAAATTCCTAGCTCACCAACTAACATAAGATGCAAAAAGTGGCTTACTGTAGTCCCATGCTCGCACGATGCAGGTTAGCAGGTTGTCACAAAATCCCCCAGCAATCTACAGTAGAACACCGAAAGAAATATGTAAAATTTAATAAGAAATTAAGCAATTTAAACAATATGAAGAAACAGCTGTGTCTGGAGCCAAGGTTGCTTAGAACCTTGTGTGCAGACCAAAAAAGCAAGTGGATTGGGGCTTCCAAACCTTGCCATTCTTAACAAAGCATTCATTATGAAACATATTTGGGAATTAGTTAATAGAGATCAGCAAAGAATTTGGGTCAAGTGGACTTCTCTGTACCTGATTAAAGACTCCAACTTTCGGGATTTGAAGATTCCGCAGTCTTGCTCATGGAGCTGGAGGAAGATTCTGCAAGTAAGACCACTTACCAAGAAGTTTATTAGTCACAAAATTGGAAATGGCCCATTTGCAGATAGAATTGGGGAGCAACATATCATTGCTTCTGACATCCCACTTGAAACCAAGGTCAGCTACTTCATTCATGGAGGTGCCTGGTCCTTTCCACAATACATTACTCTTCTTTTCCCTGAGCTTCTCCTCCTTCCACCGCCACAACCACAAAACAGTGACACATTCCAATGGCTTTCCTCTCCCCCTGGGAATTACTCACTCAAGCAAACTATATCCCATATCTTTGGTCAATTCCCAAATGTCCCCTGGACAAAGGCAGCACCTCTTTTCTCAATATTCAAAATCCATTGCAGAGATCCATTCACACTTGTTCTTCTCATGCCCCTTTGTTTCCCCCATTTGGAGCTTCATTCAGACAAAGTCTCGAGCATTGGAAGGGCAACTCGCCATGGTGTATAATGTGCAAAATTGCTCTTTCTTCTACAGTCTACCGATGGACAAAGTTTTCGCCAAAAACCATCTTCTCAGAATGCTGCGATGAGGCAAATTTGCTTCTATGCTGTTGAGAGACTTTCCACACTTACAATCAACGATGAACTCACCGATCAACTCGAAATCCATCCCCGTCGTCGGCCACCGCCAAGACCACCGGATGCAGCCAGCTGATGAATTGGTGGATCGACTGAAAGACCAACAGGTCCAATCCCTCCTAGCCGGAATATTCTGTATACCGTTGGTTATGGCTCTCACGCCATTATCAATCGCTATAAATTTATATTCTCCTGGGTCACCTTTTATAAATACTATCGTTAAATACTTAACAAACAAAATAAAGCAACTTTAAATTTATGACGTAACTTTTGTACAAATTATTATCCTCAAATCAGATTGTGTGTTCATATGTCGAAGCACATTGGGTTCAAATGACTCGATGCCGTTCGGATCATAAAGAATTGACAAGTTTGTTTATTTAATCATTTTAATTTAGGGTTTAATAGTTTAACGTTTAACTCGTGTAACTTATTTATAAATATCTAATCCAACATGTCATAGTCCTAAATATAACCTATATAATATGTTATATGTTTAAACCCAATTATAGCGAACAGTTAACTCATTTTAATATAAATTTTGACTAAATTTTATGATATTTCTTCTTATTATTAAATAGACCAGGTTTAGATTTACCTGTTAATTAAAATATCCTTACATAGACATGACATGATTATGACCACGAATACGAATTGCCACCCCTACTCTTGACGAATTTGAAATATTGATACTAGTTGTTATTATTTTGAAAAGTTTAGACTTGACGTGTTTAATAAAAAATATTCGTTTGAGTTCAATTAGAACCGTTTTCAAAATTATGTTGACTCGCTCATGTAAGTAAATGAGATTACACAAACTTTATGTTCCTGAATATGTGTTCTTAAACCAACTTATGTAAATGTATTCACGAGTCATACACAAACCTAAGTTCACAAACATATATAAGCGTACACAATTTTATGTTCACGAGCCTATATAAGGAGTTCAACATTGTTCAGAATGGACTTATTAACTAAACAAGTCTAAAAATTGAACTCATAAATAAAAATAGCTGGTGGATGTGTTTTTTAATATATATATATATTAGAGCTATTGGATATTATGTATATTTTTCACCGTATAACCATATAAAACTAAATATGTATTTTTTCCAACACACATATTACCTTTTGGAAATAAAATATATATTTTTGAAAATCTAGTAAATAAAACATTTTACACTGACGTAATTATCAACCAAGCATGACTAATTATTCTCCTGGAAATGACAACTTTGTGAAGAAAATCTATTCTTGAGCTTTCAAAATAAACTAAACCCACTTCCACGATAAGATGTGGATTGCGAAAAAAAAAAAAAAAAGTGCATAATTTTCTTTAAAATGGCGCTTTTTGTGGGCCTGCGGAACCATCTGGGAGTCCCGATTTAATTGGCTTTTTTTTTTTTTTTTTTTTTTTTTTTGAAGTTAAAGTAATTAGTCACACACCTTAACTCAACCGAGGCTCAAACTCCCGACCTCCCTTTGGGGAGAAAGGGGTGATACCGGCCAATTGGTCGTTTGGTATATTAAATTGGCTTTGTTTATACATTATAGGAGATTTTATACACATAACATTAAGGCTCCGTTTGTTTGGACCTAAAATGTTTTTCAAAAAATATTTTTAAATTTTTTGGTGTTTGGTTGTCGTAGAATATTTACGAAGAAAAAAAATATTATAATTTAACAAAAATAACTTATCGACAAGTTATTTTACCTTTGCCAAATACCAACAAAATAAAAATAAAAGAATATTTTACTTAAAAAATAAAAATATTTTTCAAAAATAATATTTTACGTCGAAACAAACGGAGCCTAAGTTAACTTAATTTTGAAATGTCACAAGACTCATTTATTTATACTTTGCATAATAAAAAATTTCCACAAAATAAATTAAATCCGGTATCATCCTACTCGAATAAAATATACATTCATTGTTACATAATTTAAAAACATACATTCATTTCTGATTAAAAAAACTAATAATAAATAAATAAATAAATAACTAAAAATTCACATTACCAATGCTTGGTAATATTACAATCACTCCTCTCTAAATCCTACAAAACTTTAGTGTAATCCTCCTTCAACAAACCTCTTCATGCAAGCAACATCCTATAAATATGTAACCTTATCTCTCAAAGTACAATAAGTGAGCAACAAATGAGCAATATTCACCGAAAACATATGTAAAATTAAACATAAGTTATATTTGTAATCGAATGTAGACTAATCTCGTACCCAACAAATACGATTGGGAGGATTAATATACAAATTGGAAGTATGTGATCAAAATTAATTAAGGAGCCTGAAATTGAGTAATGAACAAGAGATGCAATAACGATTAGTATAAATGCAATGAGGGTTTTTAATAATAGATACTGAACAACATATGTACATATATATATAATATCAGTACTGTTCAGTTGCTCTTTGGTGTGCAGGGAACAATATACGCGACTTTTACTTCAATCGTTGGATGAAATCCAACGAAATTGAAAATAACTAATAATATTTGTTTTTGATTTTTTAAAACTCCAAAGCCACTCAAGTGTTTTAAATAAAATGGAAGACCTTATAATAAGGGTTGATTGTTTCCTGTGAGATGATTTTAGTGACGACATGGAGATAAAACAACATTCCCTCCTGTACGTCAACCTCCCAAAACATCCTCTTGCCTGTGGTGAATTTGACATTATTAACCATTTCCTTTATTTGGGGAATTTGTGTTTTTGTGTGTTGCAGTCAGGGTTCGGCATTCTTACGGGTGAATTTTCATAATTTAATTTGGTTTGATTGTGTCTAAAACTTTCTATTCTTTTTCTGATGAAGCTACTGCATATTACATATGCTATAAAATTATATTCTTCTTTATTAAGAATTATTAAGGATAAGGATATTTCTTCATACAAAATTTTTGACAGAAAATCTATATGTTTTTTTTTTTTTCCTTTCTCTTTTCTCTTTATTCATAATTACTAAATCCTTCCATACTATAAAAAATAATAATAATAAAACACTGACTACAACTTGTAAGTTTAATTACGAAAAAATACAATAGTGTGTCCTTTTAAGAATTTTACCTCCTTATTATAAGGTCTTCTATTTTATATAAAACACTTGAGTAGTTTTGGAGTTTTAAAAAACCACAAACAACACAAACAATATTAGTTGTTTTCAATTTCAGTCGTTGGATTGCATCCAACAATTGAAATAAAAGTCGTGTATATTGCTCCTTGCACACTAAGGAGCAACTGAATAAGACTATATATAATATAATATACTGTAACATACTTGATTATATTTATATGTCAATATAAGGGGAAGTAAATCTACGGATGGTTAATAAGAAAAAGAAATAGGAAGTACAAAAATACCATGCATTGAAGATAAAAAAAATCAAGTTTGTAATAAGATTTGAAGGAATAAGAATTCAAATCACTCTTCAAGGGCAATAATTCAAAACTGAAAAAGAGGGGGAAAAAATCAGTCTTACTTTGAAGTACCTCAGATTGCTTTCTAAGGAACAGCTAACTTGTTCCTACTTTCCCAGTCCGAGCGAACAGAAAGAGAGTCTTACAACTTATTAGGGTTTGACTGCCATTTAAGGACCTTGAAACACAAAGATCGACGGGGCAAGATTAGGGATTAGGTTAGTGGAGAGAGAAAAAGGGCATGAGACTGATGAGAGTGGTCGTCAGCCATTAGGGCATTTGATTAGTGCTCTGATGGATTAGAAACCGGAAATGCCTTTTGTTCCTTCTAATAATTTATTTAGGTGTGTTTGTATGGAGTGATTTGGAGAGATAGGGACAGAAAAGAAAAGAAAATAAATGATATGGCTCAAGTATGTTTGGTGGCTTAAATGGAGAGGAAAGAAAGGTGCCTCATTTGCTATCTTCGAGAGAGAAAAAAAAACATAACGTGGTTTAGTAATATTTTGATAATACCAAAATTAATCTTTATAAATAAATATATAAATTTGTTATTCCATTAAGTCCTAGTTCCATTCAAGTCCCTCTTTCTAGCATGCTTATGTGATAATCCAATGGATCATTTTTCTAGTGGATGGACTTCATTTGGTTAGCCCCAAAAAATCAAAATCAAAATCAATATTCTTTGATTGAACTTAAATAAACCACTTACAAATATAAAAAGGAATGACAGTAATTTAGTTATTATCCTTTCTTTTCTTTTATCTATCTAAATAATAATAACTATTATTTTTTTTCTTTTTTTTCCTATCTATCCAAACATGAATAAAAATTATCATTATCATTTCTTTTATTTTATCTCATAACTAATATTATAATTTCTTTTCTTTTCTTTATCTCCTAACTAATACTATCCAAACGCACCTACGATTTGTAGTTTTTTTATTTTATTTTTCACATTTGTGATTATAAAAGAATATATATCTCTCTCTCTATACACACACACTAGAAATTCATACATGCAACTAATTTGAATTTTTGACTACCACTTAAAAAACACACACACTCGTGCACACAGGGATGGATCTAGAAATTTATATGAGGGGGGACAAATTTATATAGAGGGTTTTTTTTTATAATTTCAGTATGAGCAATTTTATTATTTCAAGGGCGTAAATGCAAAAAAATATAAATTTAGAGGTGTAAAATATAATAATAAAAATTTTCAATGGGGCCAGATGCCCCCATTGAGCAGACTATAGATATGTGCCTCCACGCACATGAGATCAACTTTGACATTGTTAATTTGAAATTTTCATAGTAAATGCAAAAAAGTATAAATTTAGAGGTGTAAAATATAATAATAAAAATTTTCAATGGGGCCGGATGCCCCCATTGAGCACACTATAGATACGTGCCTCCACGCACATGAGATCAACTTTGACATTGTTAATTTGAAATTTTCATAAAAATAATTAAAATTTTATTGCCATCTACATAAAAATTGAACACATAGCTTTGACATTGTAAATTTAAAAACTGTCATATATAAATTAGGGTTAACTTCAGTTACACCCTTCTTGGTTTGTCCAATCTTTAAGGAAATCCCCTCACATTTACAAAATTTCAATCAAACTCCCTAGTTTTTATGGCACACATCAATCTTTCCCTCGGTCAACGGTCAAAGTTGGTCAAAGATACTTATTGTCAACATCAGTAAAAAATTAAATTTTAATTTCCAAATTGCCCCCTGTTTGGTTACAACTATATACCATCTTTGAATCGGATTGTACTAATAAATTAAAAAATTAAATTTTAATGCCCAAATTTTAAGATTTTGTTTGTAATTTCAAAAGGTTGGATTCTGTAATTTATTCTCATGAAGAAGAAGAAGAAGATTGTGAAGATTTTGTTTGTTTAAACGCTAAATACTAAGATCAGAGTATCCAAAAGCTACAATGAATAAGATTTTGCAGACTTACTAAAATAAAAATATCGAAAAGGAGAAAATTATTCGTATTAGGGCTAATAAGGGATTTTGCAAACTTACTAAAATAAAAAAATCCAAAAAGAGAAAATTAATTCATATTAGACTGATAAGATTAGGGCTTTTAATTTTAGATTCAAATAGAGATAGAAAATTAGGTATCCAAATGAATAAGATTTTGCAAACTTACTAAAATAAAAATATCAAAAAAAGAAAAAATTAATTCCGGGCTGATAAGATTAGTGCTTTTAATTTTAGATTCGAATAGATAAAGCTAACCTTGGTGGAAGTTATAAAACCTTGTTTGGTTAAGTGTATAGGAAAACGACAAAAAGGGTACATTAATTATTACATTCATCTATTTATTTTTATACCATGTCTGATAGGGGTATGGCTGATTTTTTGTAAATGTTAGGAGTCCCTTAAAAATTGGACAAAGTAGTAGTGTAACTGAAGTTAGTCCTATAAATTAATTTATTTTTATCATCCGCATAAAAAATAATATTGATAATGTAGTTCTAGTGGTTTAAGTCTCTTCAGGGATCCACTTGTAAGATATGAGATATTGAGAGAAGTCCACCTAGTCTTATTTTTTTCATATGGTTAAATCTCTCACTTTCGAATTGTTGTAGTGATTATTACTAATTATTTAATTTTAAATTAGAAAATAATCCACAACTGTTGCAACTTGCGGCCAATATTTGAACTTAAAACTACAAAGAAATCAATAGTGTATTAAGAAACTCTTAATCTTATTCACAGCAAATCTAAAATTAATCATTTAAACTTACGCCACAAATAACAACCATCATTTTAAAATTCTTAACATAATAGAAGTTTACTAAAATTATAATTCTATCAATATTTTATGATAATGAATTTCAATGCATCTATTATCAAACCAAGTCAACATAAATCAATATTTAAAAAAAAAAAAAAAAAAAAAAACAAAACACAAACACGCAATTAAAATAAGTGAACACTACTAACTTATTTGTGTCTTCATAATTGAATAATTTTATAAATGGCCAATCAAATCAAAGAAAACACTTATAAAATAATTAAATTAAAACTAAAACTAAAACATTGTGAAAAGTGCACCGAATAATAAAGAAATAGATTCTTCTTATTCTTAATACGTACATAATGTTCTGTGTGAGTATATATAAAAAATAGCTTACCCTAAAAGGGATGTGCTTTAGTTGGGCTTAGATGGTTAATTATTAGAAGGTAAAATAGATTTTTAATTTTAAAAAATTGTGTTACTAACTCACCATTGAATGCTAACTAAACATGACCTTTTTTGTTTTTTACTTGAACGCGATTCATACAAGAAGTTGGATAATTAGAGTATAATATAAAAGACATGATAACCGTTAAAGAAGGAATTTTTTTTTTTTTTTGGCTGTATGAGTCCTATTGAAACGTGATTGTATTGCTTTGAATATGGAATAAAATTCATTTTGGTTGGTGAAAAAAAAAATTGGATGGAGTGAATCAATTATGAAAACTCCAAATGATATGGGAATTTCAATTATTAAACAGTAATAAAGGGAAAAAAAATCATTCTATGAATCCTATTGAAACGAGAAAAGTTTGAAGTAATTAGAGGACATAATGAATAAATAGTCAGCGGGAACACTGGGATGGATTAAATAAAACATGGAAAACTCCAAATGATATAGGAATTTAAATTATTAAATAGCCTTAAATATTCACATATATATATATATATATAATATATATATATATATATATGAAATAAAAAGATTCAGAAAAATATTTATCAAGTGGAATATATTCAGTAGATTAACTATATATATTTATATATTCAACAAATAGGAATAAGTAGAACTCGTTCTTGTTCAAGCGATAATATATATATATACACACACACATATTAAGAATAATAAGCATATTAACATAACTAAAGAATGAGAATACCATGGTGAATAATTATGGCTTATTTGCAACACACTTGAGATAATTAAGAAACAGAATAGAAATTTTTTTCCCAAACGCCATATCCTCAAGAAAAAAAATATAAGCAACACGAAATACATATTGAAACATACCTTAAACCAAAATAGGCCTTGAGTTCTTCGCATCAATCAAACACTGACTTTTCTTAGTACGCTTTGAAGTTTGATAAGTTAGATGACACGAGTACATATTGAAATAAAAGATGGGTAGAAAAAGTGAGAGAGGTAGAATGAGAGAAAATGATAGGGGCAAAATTCCATCCGCCAATTATATAACTTCTTCAAATACAGTCGCCGAGGCCCAAGTAGACGTGAAAGAAGCATTTTTTTTGTTTAGAAACAATGGGAATATACCAAAGGGCCTTAAGCCTAATGGTATAACCTCGTCATCGTCAAAGAAGAGGAAAGGAGTTTGAGCTCGGCCGTGGACAAAAAAGTATGTGTTTGTTTGACCATTCAAAATAAAAAATAAAAATAAAAAATAAAAAACAATGAGAATATAGGAACTCTTTGATTTTTTAAAAAGGAAGGGGAACAGGAAGGGAAACTATTTTGTACAATGTCTCAAACGAAAGGGTTAAAACTGGTGGAGTGACTTATGTAATGAGAAAACTGTGTAATCGTTTTTTTAGAATCAAAAACTGCGTATACACTTCTAAGAAACCGAAGCACGTGCAACATATTTAAATCGAGTATATTATACTACTAAAAAGTGTGTATAAAAAATAGATTTCACTTGGTATAATATATATATTAGACTCCATGACACTATTAGAGGCTTACGGCCCTTCGTCTGATCATCATTTTCTTGTTCAATACGAATGAGGTCACCACATGGTTCCGTGTCCAAAATTTTCTGTTACATGCCATATTATCTAATATATTGAATTCTTTAAAATTATTTTTAACTTCAATTCATCTTATTTTTGAGTGTTTTATCATCTCTTACTTTTTTACTAACACATCTCGTGCATGTACCAAACCAACACATCTATAAGTCTTTGGTATATGTGTTCAAATCATCTAAATTTATTATTTTGAATTTTTTTACCAACGGCTGATGCATTCTGACACTCTTATTAGTGACCCTATCTCTTTTAGTCGTGGACTTTTCTTGCAACTTCAATCGAATGCGAATCAGTCAACTCATCCGTCTTAATATTCTAATTATTTCAACATGAAGACGTTTTTGTTTCTTTCTGAGACCCAACCTCCACTCCATAGAACATTATTGGTCTAATAATAGTCTCGTAGTATTTTCATTTTAATCTATGTGTTATTCTTTTATTGTATAAATTCCTACTAACTTGTTTCTATTTTGTCAAACCCGCTCCACTTCTAATTATTGCATGCATCACTAGTAATCTCTCCATCATTTTTGTATTATTGATCATACAAAATAAATAAATAAAGTGCTTGCTTTGAGCAATAGTTTTGAAATGCTATTATTATATTATCAATGTCCGATTCCTTATTAAATTTATATTCCATAATCCACATATTTCATTTTAGTACAAACCCTTTCGATTCTAAAACAATTTTTCACGTTTCTAGTTTTATTGTTAAATGTCTTCTACTCCTTGTTGGTGATTTTATTTATCATTTCTATTTAAAGTTTTTTTTCTTCTTCTTCTTCTTCGGGGTATTCCCTAGCTGTTTAAAGTAAGTCTTCCGTGTAGTTAATATCTCACTTTCTTTTATTAATATTGTGTTATATATATCATTAATATATTTAATATGTTTTAGGTATTTAGTTGCTCCATCCCCATTTTTGTTAGTTTATAAATATTTGTCTCGCCTTCTTTTGTGCTTATTTATTTTTATACGAGACATTTGGTAAGTGTAGGTGTGGCGATTTTATAGGCGGTTGTGTCGTGGGGGAGTGTGAGACATTGACAAAGAACAAGTTATAGGTACACAATTCCACATCGTCTAGCTGTGAAAAGGAAAAGTGTTGTATATATAGGTGTGTCACTCCAATCGATACAAGGTATTTTGGGGTAAAACCTAAAAACAAAATCATGCGAGCTCAGATTCAAAACGAATAATATTGTATCATGTGGTAGAGTGAGTTGTTAAAAATGATATCAGAATCTAACCCAACTGGAAGTGTAAACAATGAGGACGTTGGGTCTTAAGTGGGGGTGATTATGATTACATGTGCATAATTTCACCTGAGTGTGTAAAGAAAATTATTATATATGTAGGGTATCACTTCAATTAGTATAAAACTTTCATACAATGTAATGGAGTGAATGATTATAATAAGTGTAAAATCTCTCTAAACGATAAAAGTTTACTATATTATAAAGTTTTTTCTTTTTTGTTTAATTATTTATTACACCACCTCACCACGTCTCTCTGTTAATAAACTCATCTCCTTTAGTTTTGCCCAAAATCTCTTTCATTTTATTCCTAATATAATATATCATTTTCATCCACAAGTTATTTACATCAACTTTTCAATCCCATTGCTGCTCCTTTTACATATGTGTTTTAAATGTGGTGGCTTGACCATACTTTCGTTGTTTCTACCTCTTATTTTTAATACAATTTTCGATACGTAAACAACTTAAACCCTTTAATTAATATGTTTAGAATTAATATGTGATATTAATTTGTGAGGCTTTCCCTTATAATCATGACCCCGAATTTCTAACAATCCTTCATTTATTACAAATCAGATACATCAAAATATAACCAGGATCATAAAAAAAAAAAATGTCCTCTTTTATACCAAAATCAATTTCCTCAAATACAAAAAAATCTCCAAAATAAAAAAAAAATTTAAATCTCGCAACGCCAACTCTTCCGTCCTAAGCCTATATTTAGTAATTTTCGTTCATCTTCAGTATCTGAAATTGGAGGGTGGTGAAACAAAAAGTCCCAGTAAGAAAAATCATAACAAGAATTTCATAGAAGTTTAACAAAATAGCTTCACAAAACATACATATTCATGTGAGTATATAAACAAAATAAATATGTATTTAATCAAAATATTTAATAAAAATATTTAATCAAAACCACTCATGTCATTCAAAGTATAGTGAACCCTACACTGATAAACAAATAATCCTCGTTGGATCACAAATCACCAAGCTTTCGCTGCGCCCTCTGCAACTCTCGACCTCCTCTCTGTCCTCAAACACAGACACTGTCTTTTCTCAAGACTCTCTCTATCTCTCTCAACTCACTTAGTGCATGAAACACCCGAGACAAATACTTCAATAAATAGGCAATTGGCACCGACACGCGTCATACAATAGCTTGGTCACCCAACAACTTGCTCATCACACAAAACTCACGTGAAAAAAATGAAGCCCGAGTCAAAAAGTTAGTCCTGTCAAAAATCTCATCATTACTTACTTTAACCCAATCTTTACTCCAAACAGACCACCCAATCCTTCACTCTTCGATAGACAGATCATATATATATATATATATATATTAAGTAACAAAATCAATATAAATATACAAAACCAACCCAAACCCATTTCTCACATGCTCTTTTCCATTTCCCACCTCCATCAAAAATACAATACACATATATAAATATATATATTATATAACAAAACTAAATTAAATTTCAAAACCCATTAACTTTAATAAATAAATAATTAATTTAGATACTCTAAAAATCATAAAATTTTAAATTAAAATTTAAAAATTCGGGTCATCACAAATCACTTAACAATCTTTATGTGAGGTCTATTCCCACCTTCCATATAAGCAATAACAAATTTGCGTTTTACTTATTTCACTTTTTATTGTTATTAGATGCTCTTCTCTTATTTTTTACAAAGAAATTGTTAGTTATTGCTAAGTCGTATGCCAGTGTTTCTTCAATCTCATTATACTCTCCAAAATCATATCCTTCCTAAACTCGTGTATTTTTTTATCAAAAAATCATACATGATTCAATTTCGGTGGATGTCAAATAAGCACATGACACCACCCTCCAAAATTGAAAAATGTATGAAGTTTGGAGAATGCATCATTACTCATATCCTATCTTATGTTCACTTACATGTCCATTAAAATTCGGACGTGTAAATATACTTTTATAATTAAGTATAAATTGTATCAATTTGGCAACAATGAACTTTGCGAACCACAAATCTTGAATAGTTGCCATGGCGATACTTCGTCAGATGGTCATTATGTTCGTGAGAGTAAAGATGAAGAATGAGTTGGAACGAATGGCATTCTATGCTACCATTGGATCGGGCTTCTTGGCTGGCTTCTTGGAAATTTGTGGCATTTTGCATTTCAAAAAGTCTTGGAGGTACGTGTGGTTTCAGTTTGTGGAAAATACTTGCAACAACCTACTAGTGGTAGTTGCACCGAAGGGTAGCTTGGGTGCGAAGATAGTTCCACAAAGATGAAATGGGAGGATAATTTTCTCTCTAAAATGGTTAGTCTCTCTCAGTATCTCTCCAAACACACACACACACACATATATATCACATTAATACACCCACGCACATATCTAGTTTAAACAATGAACTATATATTTCAGCTCCTATGACTACTTTGGGTATTTGATTTTGCTTCTTTGGTATTTGTCTATATGAAACTTTTGAGATATTTTCTTATTGCAAATTGGAAATGAAAATTTATTATAGCAATATTCTTAAGCATAGTGCTTGACCTATGCATGATTTTCTCAATTATAATTAGACCATTGAGAATATATAACCGATTACCATTCATTCTTAGCATAATGTGATACTAAATAGTTCCCAGAGAATTTATTTGTGGTGTCATTTAATGCTTCTTGAGGCGTATACACACTTGTAATTCAAGATACTGTTAATAGAATCTGAAGATGTGAATACCTTTTTTTTATATATATTTTTTTATATTTTTAGTTAGCTCCAATGGGGCAATTAGCCAGTGGACTTTTCAATTTCTTTTATTTTATATGCACAAATTTTAGTATTAATAATTGTGTCACCACTGAATCTCAAATGATAAATAAATAAAAAAACACCTTCTCTCCTAAATCACTGCCCCGAACAAGTTCTTAAATTGAAAAGAAAGCTATATGTCTTTCTCCTCAACGGGTCCATCAAAAATTTAAAAATAAAAATTCAAATAATTTCCTACTTTACAATTTATTATTTTGATTCATTTATTTGTTAATTATATATATATATATATATATATATATATATATATATATATATTATTATTTTTTTTATCATTTTATTGTTAAACAGCTGGCCTCTTAATTGAATTTTTGAATAAGGCCACCATTGTATTCTAATATTTGTTTTTACATTTTTAATTCATTAGATTTGAAATTTTGAGATGATCCACAAGTCCACATATTAAAAAAAAAAAAAAAAAAAAAAAAAAAAATCACAAATTAATCCAGCCTAAATTGATGTAACGATCCCAAAACTAATGCCAAGAATTTTTTTTTAAAAAAAATTCGGCATAATCTCCCCTAAAAATAGACCTACCGCAACCTGTTTAAATGCATATTTAACCTGTCATGCAACTAATTTCCGAATTCACGGCAACAAAAGATAATGATACAACCTACTAATCTAGACAATGCTTCAAGCTAGGATTATCCTTCCATTCTTCAACAAGTTACATATCATCAAGTTCGCATCCCATATGTCATCAAGTATCATAAGTGTATTACATAATCATGGTTCTTCAAAAGAAATTTACATCATTACACCTTTGGAATTTTATAAAAAATGAGGGATGAACAAAGAAGTAGTCTATTACAAAATAATAAGGAAAATGCTCCTCTAGCAACTTTCAAAGTTGGGGTGGATTGTCGTCCACCGGTTCTTTTCCAAGACCTGAAAAAAATGTATAAATAGTAGGGTGAGCTATATGCTCAGTAGGTGACACTTAAGACACAATTCTTGTGTCCTAGTGAATCCAATCAAAGCATAGGCCAATGGGAGATAGGGATCATACAACATAGGGGATCAAATACAACATACAATTCAATTCCAATTATAAACAATGCAATGCAATGCAACGCATGTCAATGACATTCTCCATTTTCATTCTCAAAACCATCACTTTCAAACGTTAATATAGCCCGCCCTTTGGTAACCCCGCCGCGACACGAGAGGAGGATTGGCTAGTGGCCCTGACCCTTGGTAACCCCGCGGCGTCATTATGGGGCCCAACTAGCTCAGCCACACTAGGGCGACTCCCTAGTCCCCTCTAGGCTATATTAACATCCGGCCCGTTGGTAACCCCGCAGCGACCGGGTTTATCAAAACCAATTTTTCCAAACACATCACCCAAAATTCCCATTTTTTTATTTTCAAACACCAACATCCCTTCCTATGCAACCCAATAAAATGTATGTATCTTACATGATGTCAATACAATGATAAATGGGAATTTAACACTCTACAACAAGTACCATTTCATATAACATTATAGCATGCTTGTAAAATAATAATCATGATAGAAACTCACTATATAAACATGCTATCCATTCAATCAAGTAACACATATTCACATAACATAGCATATTCTCAAATATCTCAGTTTAAACAAGAATCAAAGCAATCAAACATGCTGTAACACAATTAGAAGAGCATGATTCAATATGGAATAAGATTACATAACTTAAGATGTCCCTACCTCAAGATTGCATCAAAACCCTAGAAAATGGATCCTCAATTTCGAGCTCCCAAAGAGGACCAAAAGTTGGAATTTCTGATACTGGCACGTAGGGCTCATCGTGCTCGTCGTTTTGCCTCAAACGGTACCTAAATTCGGCAAGGATTGAGAGAGTAATCAAAGGTTAAAGCTTGAAGTGAAAAAAAAAAAAGAAAAAAAGAAAAAAAAGGAGGAGCCGAGAGACAAACAGAGAGATGGACGCAAGAGAGAGAAGATGAGGTTACAGTGAAAAAAAAAACATGGTCTTAACATTTGTGGGTCCCACTTTTTTTTTTTTTTAAGATTTCTTTTTTTTTTTTTTTTTTTTTTTTACACACCGCACACAGACATATATATATATATATATATATATAAAGGCACAAACATTACAATTGAGGACCCTTCTAGCGGTGTGTAACATATTTTTGGTATTTCCGCATCTGTCACAAGACTCACAACACCTCTGAATAAGTATAGAATATTTTATTATATCGGTATAAATACACCTTGAAAAACAAAAATGTCATATAAATATATACTTCGTATATTAGTTATAAAATACTTTATGAAAATTCGATTTTGTAGTGCCATAATAATACAACCTTTCATGTCCTTAGACCGGACAAAGTGAAAAAACCGGAACACGGTTTGTTCGTTTCGACTAAACGCGGGAAATTTCGCCTGAGTTGTAACAAATTCATCGATCCATTTTCTCTCTCTTCAGTTGTCAGAAGGACGTGCAATATCTTCGACGATGTGACATGATTTTCCCCCCTTTACTAGTGATTACTTTGGAGGTGTGCTCTTTATATTTCCTCTCCTCTAGGTTTAGAACTTTCTCTGGGATTCAGACTGGTGAAGTAATGTGGAGTTTCTGAGGCTCTGATTTTTGGTGCGGAAGTCATCATCTCATCCTTCTATTTCCGTTTCTCTCATTAATTTGTAATGGAACTGAGTATATTTCCTTTCTCTTTCTAGGTTTAAAACTCTCTCTATAATTCAGATTGGTGAAGTAACGTGTAGCTTCTGAGGCTCTGGTTTTTGGTGTGTAGATCATCATTTATCATGTGCCCTGAATTTTCTAAATAAATTCCTCAATTTTATTAAATCAAAATACTTCATTATACGAGACTAACAAAAGAAATACTCTCTTTATTAATACAAAATTAATTCCTCAAATTAAATACAAAAAAAATCTCTAACTACAATAATTTAATCCTCAACACCAACTCTTCCATCTAAACTCGCAACTAAAAATCTTCAAGCATTATTGATACCTGAAATTATAGGGGGTGAGACGGGAGAAGACCCAGTAAAAAAAATTATAACAAGAATTTCATAAAAAATTAGTTTCAAAAAAATGTTTCTAAACAAAATACATATATATAATTTTAACAAAATAGTAACATTTAATAAAGATTTAAATGCAAAAAAACTTCCTCTAGTATTGAGACAGTGCATATTGTGTGGTAAAAAATCTCCCTATACTATTAATTTGGTGCGATTAGATCCCTGGTGGTGTAAAATGACGATAATACC